GGGACATCAGAATTGATCCCATGATCGTTCTTTAAATCCTCCATTATTGAAACTTGTCCTCTTGGAACTTGGAAGCCTTTATGGAACCTTAATCACAGACTTGAAACAAAAAATTGAATTGGCATGTGCTTGTTTGTATGTAACTTTATAATCAAAATAAAAAGTCAGTCATTTATGCCCTTATTCATCCATACGTTCATCACACGTGAATGAGGAAGGAGATGCTAGATGCTCGAGGACATTCATATTGTACTCGGTCAGAGATTGATTGAGAGAGGGAGAGGGAGAGTGAGAGGGAGAGTGAGAGGGAGAGTGAGAAGGAGAGTGAGAGGGAGAGTGAGAGGGAGATGGAGATGGAGATAAAGATAGAGAGCTACCCCATAACCACCATACTGGCACTAAGTACCGGGTTCGAGGAATATAGAATGATTGTCCTACTGTACCTTACCTGACGGCGATGAGATAGGTAGATCTAGTGAAAAGTACGTTAATTCGTGATCCTCTGAGCCTCTCTCGCCTCTCTCACATACTCGGTAGCCCGAGCATAGGTACAGTAGTTCTAAACTCGAGGTATGATTCAAGGTGGCAATGATTTGACCAATTACATCAACTCCCCATTCCCAAGTGATGATAGATAATCGAGTACCTACGTAACTCCGTGGAGGGAAATATCGACAGTAGTTTGCGAGCAGGTACCGTTCCTGAAAGAAAGATTTTCCGGGTATCGTTTTATGCTTTACCAAGACGGTGGTGATGGCAAAAAGATTTCCAAGTATGAAGGTCATAAAGCTTGGATATGACATCAATGGTCTGGTCTCTCGAGTATTAATAAACGGAGCTTGATCGAATGAGTAGATGCTAAGAACCGAATTAGGAAAAAAGGAAGCTCCTTTTCTTTGTTCCTCTCTTCGATGAATTGATGTATGTGATGTGAGATACCCAGGTACCGGTACTTGATTGTCATTCATAAGGGCACAAAATGCAATTGTGGACATATAGTCTGCCGTAGACTTGTGAATGTGCTTATCGCTTGCAGCTTGTATGGCTTCTATCCAGAAATACCACGAGATGGAATGAATATCTTCCATCAATATTTGGTATAGAGTTCTGGTAAGTACGAGGCATACTCTATCATAGCACGGAGTATCAAATGTCTACAAGGTCATTGAATCATAGATCAAGGTCATGTTATAGATCTTGACAGAAAAGAGAGCAACAACCCCTAACCAAAGCTACTTGATGCCGAGAAATTCGAACCCCTCATTATTGTCCCGCATTGAGCTTCACATTCATCATCACAACTCACAGAATATTCTATACCTATTCAACCAACCACCCGATTGTTCTTGGAGATTCGGAGTTGATTCACGAAGATATACATCTATCAAATTCCCACTCTATTAATGGATCATTCGTTCTACCCAACAGATTTAGATCTCTTTATTTACTTCAAACCTGCAAGTTACCTCATCATCTCTCTACCCAGCTTTTTCCCTTCACCATCCGCCTCCTCCTTTAATCCTTGTCTCTCCCATCTTTCTCTCCAGTACTCCACGAGTCCTATAAAAATAATTCATCCCTCCCCCCTCCCCTGTCCTCTGCCCCCTGTACACATTTTGCTGCAATGCAGGACAGAAAGAAAGACAGCAAAAGGAAATCCAAACGTCAAGCTCCAGCACGCTAATCTAAGACCAAATCATTAAGCGATTGTCATCTTACCTACGTCTATCCGCTTTTTATTTTGGTGGTGACCCCTCATATGGCTCGTTCTTGCCAACCCTTTGCATGGACTAAGGCAAAGCATCCACTATCGACTGTTGATCTCTGAACGGAAGAAGATCATTCGCCAACACTCCTCTTACTCCATAATCCAAAGTTTAACACCTGCACCATCGAAATTTATTCACTAGACGACTACATTCGTCAAATGAACACTGAGCTTTGTATTCTAGGTACAGCTTTCGCCCACAGTACTCGGTTCGTACCTACCGGAAGATAGAGAGAAAAGTAAGTAGGAGTAGAAGTAGAAGTAGAAGTAGATAAAAAAATAAGAAATTTTGCCAAAAAGTAAAAAGAAGGGACTTTTAACCCCCCCCTTCACTCTCATCCTCCACCCTGTACACTCAACTGAGCTATCCATGGATATCAAAGATATCAAAGACTTTCACATCGTGACTCCATATGACTGTCTACCAGAAGACTGATTCTGTCATTCAATCTACTCGATACTCAATCCAATATTGACCTCGAAACCCCCTGTGCCCACGCTAATAAACCTCTCGCTACATTTACATCACGTTATTAACTTCCATCTCGATCTTTTTATCTTTTTATCTTTCTGCCTTCTGACCTCCTACCAACAAAACAAGACATCTAATCCTACCTCCACCCAGCCTTTTCTGATCCTCGTCGGGACCCCTTCATTAGACTGTGAGAATTGATATCACGAAGTAGTAATTGATATCACAAAGTAGTCTTTTGAAAACTATCTAGGCGTCTACTCTAATTCCATCGCCTGACTGCTAATATCTTTGATACCTCATCCATCCAATCCGGTTCCAGACATTTTTTGTTACCAATACTACACATAATTACTTATATCACAATACATTCAGAGTAATAAGATCAAATCACAAGCCTTACTAGACAATATCCACATCGAGTCCTGTAAGCCCAAAACGGAAAAGATTAATTAACAAATCTACCTCGAATATTTTGTTGTGTCATGATCATTTACTTGGATTGGATATTAGAACAGCTACACACACATCCTTCAAACCCTTTCTACTCCTGCCTTTCTTCCTGCCCAAAGTACAACGTGCCAGCCTTATCTCATCAGTCACTTCCCTTGGGTTTCCCAAAGATTAGATTAGATCCAATACTTTTTTCTCTACAATCGAGATGATATCTTTCGAATCAATTCCAAACATCGATTCAACATTTTCATCTTGAAGTGTGTGACCATACCCAAGAGAGATCCTGTCCACCCCCCTCATTACAAACTAATGGTACCTTTTTTGACTGCGGTACGGTACGATCATTGGTAAATAAGAGGCGCACGAAGAAGTCGCTAGGAACAAGACTACTCTGAACGAATTAAACACTACGCTTGAAGGATCATTAGCAACAAGTGACCATTACAAAAAGCACAAACGGGTCAAACCTTTTTGAACGAATCAAGAAGTCAGGAAATGCTACCCTAGTCGACCATTAGTCCCAACTACTCCCATCTCCAAAAAAACCGAGCGCGTGAGCAACATAGCCAGTATTGCCAGAGCCAAGGAATAAATAACTTTGGAACCAAATTCAGACAGGACAAGAAGCAGAAGAGTAAGAAGAGGAAAGCAGAAGAGCAGAGGAGTTTGCATTTCGTAGTTACTACTTACTACAGATTCAGGACGCAGTACGGAACCACGAACTACGAACTACAAACTACTCCATCCATCCAATCTTATTTTATACCTTTTTTTTATACCTCCAGTATAGCCGTTCAACCTCGTACATGACAATAAACTTCTCTCTTTTGACACTTTTACCCTTTTAGGTGATTTGTGGTGTCTTTTGGATCAAATCAAGAAATTGACCAGGCAAATTCACCCACCCAACGAGCACCACTACTGCTACCACCACCACGACTTCTACCACGACCGCTTCCTCCCTCTCTCCCTCTTTTCTCTACTTTACACTGCCTCTACATCGCCAGTCCCTTGACCATACACATACACAATCACTATACACCGCGCATCACGCACCTGCACTACCTTAGTTACCTTGCCTTAGTCTACCCTGCCTTAAGTTACCTTAGTTTACCTCAACCTTCCTCTTACTTCATCCATTCTCCATCTCTCTCCTAGATTCCTCCCTCCTCTCCGGAAAGCATACAAGCATACGACCATACGGCCATTCGAGCATACAGCCATTCGACGATTCGAGCATACGACCAGTACACACCACCACCACTCCTCCACAACCATAACCACCACCACCACCATCGCCCACAATTCACCACGCATCCCATTCATCCATCAACAAATCAATACATACTCCCGACCGGACAGTACATATTACATACTATCCACTCAACGAACCACTCAATCTTACCTTGCTCACCTTACCTGTTCCGTATTTGAGAAAAGAAAAGAAACGAAAAACAAAAACAAAACATAACATAACATAACATAACCCAAAGAGAACAAAAACAATCACCCACAGCAACTACAATCATCGAAATTGATTTGATTCATTCATTTGAATCATACTCGAATTCGAACATCAAGGACATTTCTTTACGACATCAATACCATACCTACCATACACATACATACCATTCAAACACAAATACATGAGCATAACCATTACCTCGACTTGAATTTAAAATACGGTACGCCTTGACCAACTCTTCTTTTGCCTTGCCTTGTTCATTCATTCATTCATTCATTCATTACTTCCGTACACATAATACATATTGGCACACTTGGACATTTACATTACATACACACCGTGTCTTTCTCTCTTTCTCTCCCGCCCTCTTCAACTCTCTCTCACTCTCACTCACTCACTCTCTCTCTCTCTCTGCCTCGACTTCTCCCTCCCATAACACCACCACCACACACATAACATAACATTACATCCGTACACCCCCCATCCCATCCCATCCCATCCCACCGCCTTTCACCCAACCCCTCCCAACCATTAAAGGGTCACAACCAACTAACTCCCAAATTCTCATCAATCAGCCGCAGTCTCACTCTGGTCATTAATCTCGATTTTTTTTCAAGTTTTCGATTTTCAAATTTAAGTGAATAATTCTTCGACTGGTCAGCCTGTCACGTTATTGAAGATCATTCACTTGGTAATTACCGATTGATTACTTTTGGTCGCACACTCGGTGTTCAATTGCCCAACACGGACTATAACAGGTCATCAACCAGTCTCCTCACAACCCTCCTCGTTTACAGCCCACCTCACGAACGATAATAATCGGTGTTTTGGACTTCAATATGTCGTCAAATCGGCCTGCTGCCTTCTCGAGCTTAAGAATGGGAGGTAAGAAACATACTCCTACATATGGTCTTTCCCCTTTACCTTGCTACCACCCTGTTTTTCTTTTGGAGAAAGATTGATTCTAACGTTTTTTTATTAAATTCTACAGAAGTAATCCGCGAAAAGGTTCAAGATGGCGTTACTGGCGAAACCCGAGATATGCAATACACACAATGCAAGATTGTTGGAAATGGTTCCTTCGGTGTCGTCTTTCAAACCAAGTTGTCACCTTCAGGAGAAGATGCTGCCATCAAACGCGTTTTGCAAGACAAGAGATTCAAGGTTTGCGACGTCTCTTCGAGTCTACAAGTCATTGGTTACTGATACAGATAATAGAATCGTGAATTGCAAATCATGCGCATTGTTCGTCACCCTAACATTGTCGAACTAAAGGCGTTCTATTATTCCAACGGCGAGCGAGTAAGTTTATTCCATCCTGCACAAACATGCTGAGCAGTTTCTAATGACCTTGGGGTAGAAGGATGAGGTATATCTTAATCTAGTGCAAGAATTCGTTCCTGAGACCGTTTACCGCGCATCAAGATATTTCAACAAGATGAAGACCACAATGCCGATCATCGAAGTCAAGCTTTACATTTATCAACTCTTCCGCGCCCTAGCCTATATCCACTCCCAAGGAATCTGCCATCGTGATATCAAGCCACAAAATTTGCTCTTAGACCCAGGCAGTGGAATTTTGAAGTTGTGTGATTTTGGTAGTGCAAAGATACTCGTAGAGAATGAGCCAAACGTTTCATACATTTGCTCACGCTACTACAGAGCACCCGAGTTGATCTTCGGTGCTACCAACTACACAACCAAGATTGGTAAGAATACACGAATGATGACGACTGAGTAAATGATGCTGACTTGCCTTGATAGATGTTTGGTCCACTGGTTGTGTGATGGCAGAATTAATGCTTGGTCAACCACTCTTCCCAGGTGAATCTGGTATTGATCAACTCGTCGAAATTATCAAGGTCCTAGGTACACCAACTCGGGATCAAATTCGTACCATGAACCCCAACTACATGGAGCACAAGTTCCCTCAGATTAAGCCACACCCATTCAACAAGGTCTTCCGCAAAGCCGATGCTAGTGCCATCGAACTCATCTCCAAGTTGTTAGAGTATACTCCTACTGAGAGACTCTCCGCCATTGAAGCTATGGTTCACCCATTCTTTGATGAGTTACGTGAACCAGACAAGACGTTCCCGGATTCTCGCCACCCCGGCAACTCAGCGAAGAATCTCCCAACTTTGTTCGATTTCTCTCTTCATGGTACGTTATGGATTTTATGTGATACCAGCATACAATACTAATACATCGATAGAATTATCCATTGCACCGGAACACAACCAACGGCTGGTACCGCAATATATTCGAGCAGGTTTGGTAGCAAGAGATAGCAAACTTGATATTGATAGCCCAGATTTCAAACCATTGACGAGAGATGCGATGATGGCAAGATTAGATTGAGGGAGGAGTTAAAGCAAGATGACTGATGAATGAATGCTTTCCTGTCGCTCGACCTTAGAGCTCTGCAATGGAGTCGAGATTTTTCGAGCGATAACACCCGGCTATAAAAAAACCCCCCAGCATATTAAAGGTTCTGCATATCTCGTCTGCAACGTTGGCAGGCCAAAATCAAGTTTGTGGAAGTCCGGGAGATGCATGGCAGGAATACGAAGTTAGTCTATGATGATGGTATGCGTTATTTGGTTTGATAGGAATACCCATAAGGTGGAATTTTCGTTCAGCACGAGTTTTCAGTTCCAGCTAAGGATACTCCCTTGGTACTCGAAACAACGGTGATTGGGAAAGGGATATGAAATATGATGGATATTGATTCATGAGGGGGGTTGTGGAAAGGGGGTGAGTGGTAGTTTATGGGATTCAACGAATACTTCTATCGGCACCTCGTTACTAGACTTTCTTGCATGAGGAGAAAAAATTATGGCCTTTTTGCTCTCTTCTTCCGTTTTTTGTTCCACAGTGTGTTGTGTGCCTCGTGTGATGAGGATTGATGGGTTGGCTGGACCTTCTACTTTTTGCATTTTCCGACTCTTTTCGTTTTCATCCTTTTCTTTTTCTCTTCTTTTTCGGCACCCCTTCGATCGCTACTTGATATTTTGATACTCCAACACAGGCATGCAAGCAAGATTCAGGCGTACCTTTTTTTTTTAAATTACATTTTACATTTTAGTTGTGGCTGTGATGGTGGACGAATATTGATATGGCATGAATGGAATGGATTAATTGATACGAGAGAAATTAAAGGAAAATAAATAGGATAGGGGTTACTAGGCTTACTATTAAAAAAAGGGAAAATTCAAAGGGGTTGGGCTACAACTATTTCTCTGTTTTACTGTTGATTCTTTCTTCTCACTTGTCTTTTTCAGAGCTTGATGGATTTATTGAAAGGGGGAGATGGATGGAAATGGTGAGAGGGAAGGGAGAGAGATTGATAGATATGAGGGGATACTTTTCTTTTGTCATATGATGGAGGGATGAGTGGGTGGTTGGGATGGTGAGGGGGAGGAGTTTGCTTATTGTTGTCGTTGTCGTTGCAATCGTTGTATTGAAAATGGACAATCAGAAAATAACAAAATATGAATTAATTGAAGTTAAGTGGATTGTGAAATGAAGTGCTTATTCTGGCTTTGGTCTGTCTATGAGGAAATGTGATGAAGGGATTGTTGATGAGTTTGAGATTATGTGTAAGATGTATGCATGTCTTGGGTGAAAACCAAAGGCTCTGAGAAGGATCTTTTTTCACTAGCACATCAAAGGTTCTTACTTTGACATATACAAATTGTGACGATGCACAAGTGTGTACTGAGTTTTTCGAACAAACTATGTGGTATTTCCTACCAACATCTGATACAATGAATTACTGCGTACCATGATACGGCACATCCCATAGCATCTCGCTGTAGTAGAGTAGAATAGTGTGCTAAGGCAACAAGGCACCACACCATGGCGCTCAGCGCAGCAGGTAGGAGGAGGGACGTGAGATGGACCGAGCTTCTTTTTTAGCATCACAGCTCGAATCTCGAAGAGGTTGTTGAATGGATAGGAAAAATAAATCAATCAATCTTCAAGGATTCTCGAAGATTGGTCTTGGGATTGATCACGACACCGCTCACACATTCGACTCGGGGCTTCAAAACAGGACGTCTTTCTTTCTTTTTGAAAGATTGATTGGTTTGTTGATTGATTGGTTTTGATTGATACGTTACGGTACGATACGACACGACACGATACGATACTTGGGGAATTTTTTAAAGGCTGTTCGCGGTTTGATTGATTGATTGGGAAGGAAGGGAAAGGGAGGAGAAGAAGAAAAAGGGAAATTGATCGCGAATACGAAGAATAAAGCGCATTGAAAATTGGATTCGAGCGCGACTGCGAAGTAAGAGGAATTAAGTACAGGGAAAATAAGAAAAGATGGCGGATTATGAGAGAGGTGCTGAGAGGGGAGGAGAGAACAGAGGAGGGTATCAGGGAGAGAGAGGGGAAGGGTGAAATAGAGGAGGGATCGTGGGTATGGTTATGGCGAGAGGGAGGAGAGAGGGGGGAGGGGTGTGGGTATAGAGGGAGATATAATGGGGGTGGTGGAGAGGTGGTGGTGGTAGGAAGAGGTATAGAGGTTAGTTGATGTGCTTTTTGTTTGTTTTGTTTGTTCTTTGATGTGGGAGAGATGAGGTGGATGGAGCTCCGAGATACAAGTGAAGGTGATCGAGGAAAGGGAAATTGGTGATGGGGAAGATGGCGATTTGGAAGATGAGCTTCAGCTTCGAAAGCTTTGACGACAGCTTCGATTCTCGAGGATTTCGATGATTACAGCACAAGAAACAACGCTAACAGCATAATTCTCAACTACAGATGAAGATGATCACGATCGACGACCTCAAAGACGTCGCTACGAAGAACCGCTCATCGTCAAAGTTCGCAAACAACTTCTTTCCATCGCGGAATCACCTCTCAAGCGCGTCGAAACGGAAGTAGCCGAAATAGCTAAAACTGTATGCGACAACTACGATGATATCGAATTGCGCGATTCTTTCTATGATTTGTCGCTGCAATTGATCGTAGAGCAACCTTTCAAAATTCCTTTCGTTGCTGCAGTGGTTATGGTGTTGAATACCTTGAAAGAGGAAATGGTTATGGAGTTGTTGGAACGAGCTGTCAAGGGCTTGAACAAATCGATCACCAAGGGTGACTGGAGACAGGTCAAGTTATATATGAAGTTCCTGGGAAGCTTGCAGGGTTTATTGGAGGGTGATGGTGTCTTCACTATTCTGCAAGATTTCTTAACTAAGGCCCTGGATTTGCAGACGGAGAACAATGAAGAGGTGAGAGATTGGCATGACGAGGTTGTCTTCTGCGATTATTTGGCTAACATTGAAATTTCTAGACTATCGGGCCTGAATTGGTCAAGATTATCCTTCTTACTATTCCATATATCATGGCATCTTCAGCGACAGATGCTCATGAGAAAGCTGCGGCTATGATTGAGAACACTGATATCATTGCTTCTGAACCACACGTTTTACAAGCTTTGGTTGATCCATATCCAGGAGATGCTAAAGATGATACCATTGCGCCAGTTGGTGTTTTGAGTCTTTTGCAAAAGCAATTACAAGCTGAATCGCAAAATGGATGGGAACTCTTCTGTTTACCAAGACCGTGGAAGATGATTGAGCCAGAACAACAAGAAGCTTTGGCTTCCGCTTCAAGACATACTTTGCCAACAATTGCTCTTCCTGAGATTGTTAATGCTGGACCAAGACCATTGTTTCCTGAGCTTTACTTCTCGGTTTATGCTAATCAGGATGTTGAGACTGTACCACCTATCACGGATATTTCATCATGTCTGTTGAGAGATGCTTTGATTGACACGATCAATATCTTGGATTACAACAGAAATGCCACTGCCAAATTCTTGATTGATATCGATTGTTATTTTGCTCCTGACACTTTTGTCAAGAGAGCTACACCATTCGACAGACTTCGAGATGTTGAGGGAGATAGATCAACATGGAAACCTGAGGATGTTGCAGTCGATGCAGTCTTTTCTCAGTTGTTCCAACTTCCAGTTCCGGAACACAAACTTGTTTATTACCATGCTGTCTTGACGGAATCTTGCAAGATTGCACCAGCTGCTATTGCGCCATCTCTTGGTCGTGCAATCCGTTTCTTGTATAGAAATGTCGATTCGATGGATCTTGAATTGAGCAGCAGATTTATGGATTGGTTTTCGCATCATTTGAGTAACTTCGGTTTCACTTGGAAGTGGACTGAATGGATTGATGATGTGGAACTTTCCGATTTGGACCCAAAGAAGGCATTTATCATTGGTTCTTTGGATAAGGAAATTCGATTGAGTTTTGCTCAAAGAATCAAGGGCACTTTACCACCTCCATATCAACAGTTGATCACAGAGGAGAAGGAAAAGGATACGCCTGATTTTAAGTTTGATGATCCAAGTAAGTAATGTCATTTCGAAAGATAAGAACACTTCTAACAATGTATAGGTACACCATTCAGTGCTGAAGGACAAGAAATTCTTGCACTTCTCCGCAAGAAGGCAACAGAAGAGGAAATTCAACCAGTCGTTGATCGAATTCACGCTTTGGCAGTTGAACAAGCACTTCCAGATCCTCTCGTTCCATCTACAGATGCATACGTAACATCAATCTGCTACATCGGATCCAAATCTCTTAGTCACGTCCTCTCTTGCATTGAACGCTGCAAAGATCGCCTCCTAGCCATTGGACCCGTCTCTCAAGTCGCTAGACGCCAAATCATCACCTCGGTCATGCAATATTGGAAGGATCAACCAGGTATCGGTGTTAACATCATTGATAAACTTTTGAACTATACAATTCTCAGCCCGCAAAGTGTGGTACAATGGGCTATTGGCAGTGAGGGCAAAAGACTTAGTCAGAGTTTCGTGTACGAGATGGTCGAAGCCACAGTTGGAAAAGTTACTGGACGCATTCGTCAAGTTCAGCTCAGTCTTCGTGTTCCCGGACTGCTGGAGGAACAGAAACAACTGATTGAGAAAACCGTGGAGATGGAGAGAATCAATATGAGAGAATTGGGAAGGGAGATGGATGAGCTTTTGACGGCTTGGGCGAATGGATCAAAGGACCAGGAAATCGAAATGGATGGAAGGGAAGAAGATCGGGAGTTGGTCAGGGGATGGGGAGAGAGATGGTTGAGAGTTTTTAGGAGAAAATTCGCGGTTGAGGAGGCTTGGGGTGTAGAGGCTAGTAGGTGGGTGGCTCCCCCCGAACCGGAGGTTGAGGAGGTGCAGGAGGTTAAGGCGGTGCAGAATCCCGAGGAAATGAAAATTGATGGGGATGTAGAGGGTGTTGCTGAGGTGGCGGATTATGAGGGGATTAATTAGAGGGGGGTTAGTGGGGGGGTTGGATTGCGAATTGCGGATGGGGTGTATGTTTGTGAATTGAAAAGGAAAGGAAAGGGAAGGGAAGGAAAGGAAAGGAAAGGAAATAAAGAGAAAAGCAAAGAAAAGAAAAGAAAAGAAAATGGAGAAGAGAAGAGAAATTGCATACACAGCACGTCATGCGTCATCATATTGCAAATGCATAGGAGTTTTTCCATTTTTTATTTTATTTTATTTTTTCCCCATACGTTTCAGTCTTCACTTTTCTGGGTGAGTGTACGATAGAGTAGAGCAGAGTAGAGTAGAACAGAGTACGACGCAAAAATGAGAAAGTTTACATGACATGACATGACAATACATCACTGAGAGCCGAGAAATAGATAACATCCATCAATATTTGAACGTCATGCCGAACGGGCACTATTATTATTGTACTATTCTCCCTACACTCACTCACTCCATGTATATGTATGTGTGTATGTATCTTTTAATATTTGATGCTGTGTGAACGAGCATACATTGGGCCATCTAGAGCTGTAGCTATAGCTATAACTGTAGCTGTGGCTGTAGGAAAATGTTACTAACTATTTTGCTCGATGCCGAAAGTGATCCATCGATCGAATGGATGGATGGATGGATGGATGAATGGGTGAAAGATGCAATGTAACAAGTGGTGGTAACTCACCCCTTTGGAACGCCGTTGTGAACGCCAGTCCTGATATATTTCCATTGCCCGCGCTTGATTTTCATGGGTACGTTTTCTCTTCTCCTTCTTTGGTATTCTTGACCATATTTATCTTTATCTTTGACTTTATCTCTCTCCTGGTCTCAATCTCACACTCCACAGAATCCCGTGGCGATATTTAGAATCTCGTTATCTCTCCCAAATTACCTCACCTCCTTCCATAACCTTGTCCCCCATGACCTTGGGGTCCCGCAGGTGGCATCCCCATTGGCATTCCCTGCGCACCTCCAAATCCAGGAGGTGCTTGCATGTTTAATAAACCAGGCGGAGGAACCATTCCTGGTTGTCCGGGAGCTGGCATACCTCCTGGTGGAGCGAATCCAGGTGGAAATTGTATTCCTCGTGCAGGTCCGGTAGTAGGATGTCCATATGCTCCACCTGGGCCCGTGGGTGGAACATGTTGATTGTGGAAATCCATTTGTGGGCCACCGTAGCCGGCTTGCGAAGGGGGTGGTCTTTGAGGGAGGCCAGATGGAGGAGGTGGGAGATGTTGGGGCTGTCCTCCTGGAGCACCGCGTGGACCACCGGGAGGAGGGACGGAATTATAAGCAGGACGTTGTGGTGGGAATCCTGGGGGTGCGGTAGGTATGGGAGATTCGTTCAACATTGCTGCTGGAGCTTGTGGAATTCCATTCATGCCTAATAATAAACCTGGTGGCATGTTTTGTAGATCTGGAATCACGTTGTGTTTCTTTGCTTGAGCTGCTAGGGCTCTCTCGGCTGCATCTCCGTGTCTTTCTCCCTTGCCATCTTTCTTGTATGCGTATTGGACGGAGATATCTTTGTTCATTAAATATTGACCGTTCATATTTGCGATAGCATCGTCAGAAGCTTCAAAGTTGGCATATGATACGAAGCCGTAACCTTTGGAAAGAGAGGATTCGTCGCGAGCGATCTTGGGAGGAGAGATGAGAGATCCAAAGCGCGAGAAGGTATCGTATAGGGTCTTTTCGTCCACCATAGGGTCAAGATTACCAATGAAGAGTTCTGCGCCGACTTCAACAGTCTTTTGTTTATCGGCAGAGGCCTAGATTTCCCAGTCAGTAAACTCTTCTTGAATTTGGAAGACTGCATAGAATAAAAGTAAAACAAACCTTGTTCACACGGATTGGTTTTCCAAATAACCGCACTTGATTCATAATGCGCGCCGCATATTCAGCATCTTCTTCTGATATAAACTCCACAAATCCATAGCCCTGATGATTTTGAGTGACGCGATCTTTGGGTAAATGTACATTGACAATGCGACCAGCTTGTAACATCAATTCCCATACCAAGCTATCAGTAACGCGCTCATCGATATTGCCAATATAGACGGTGGCTTCCTTGTCTTGTTCCCTAAGAGAGCGGCGTTGCGCCATGGTTAGCTTTGAATACTTTCTGGAGGTTTGAACTTGGGAAGGCTAGCAATTGGAAAATTGAAAGCTGGGAACAAGGAATTATTTACCAATGTCTTGCTCCTGACATATTGTTATTATAGTGGGAGCTAGAGAGTGAGTTCCCGTTGTTTATGTTTAATAAAGTGAGAGTAAGATGGAAAAGTGCAGCTGTAGTGAATAAGCATGGAGCTTCACAGTGAAGCTCAAGATGCGACGAAAAATAATGGTGGATTAGTCATCGGCCTTGCTGATTCTGGTGATTGTGAGAAACCTTGATCACTTTTTTATACTGCAGAAAGACAAGCTAGAACATTTGATTTTACAACAATTTGTATGTATATAAGATGGAATATTTCTTCTTGTCTGCAGGATACTAATTGTCTACAGCTCCGAATTAAGAAATTATATCAAAATGCAACTTTCCGAAGAATCCAAGGTTCGCATGCAGATGCCCTTCATATGATGGATGGATGGAATGGTTTTGTTGACTTCAGATTAGGAGCGCATTGGAAAGCTCATTGACTATTCCCGTGTTGCTATCCATTAGTGAGGATATCTTGGATCTTTCATCTTGGACTTGTGCTAACAGTTTACAGTGGCTACCTCCCATTGATCCTCTACCTTGGTATGAATTGACAAACGACATAAAGCACAAAGACATGCATGCTAATAAAATCAGGATACACCCGCAGTGAACCACGCCCATCCATCGTCAGGTCAGTTTCTCTGCAGACTCTGAATGCTAAAGCATGTACTAATGTCCATCTGCAGACTCCTCTCTCCTCTCGCATAAGTTCTTTATAAAGAGTCACCAAACGGAAATGTTTTACCAGTCGTCGATATGGTTGTGGAGATTCACGGAAAGGAACTGCGAGGCAGAACTGGGTTATAGACGGGACCACTGGCATTAACCAGAGAACGATATGACGGTTGTAGCATACGAGGCGTTCATGAAATAATGAAATGCTCAGGGAGCTTATGTTTATGGTGGATACATACCATACGAAGATAATTGTACAATAGCGCAAAAAGCGCAATCACCACTACGAAATCAAAACCATTGCCTGTCTCCAGTTCTAATTTTGAATGCCTCATTCTTTGTCGTCTGAATAATGTGAAACTCTCTCTACCTAAGATATCATTTGCCCCCGCCTCGGCAAGCCCCAGAAAATTATGAAGCTTTATTTTCGTCATCGCGTGTGGAATATATTGCCCCTCGCAACTTCAACATTCTCGCAATGACAAACATAAATCTTCCCTTATGACCGAAAACCATGCGCGCATCTCTCCCGCGCTGGTCGAGACAATTGCTGGCCTCTCGGCCGGTACAGCATCTACCCTAGCTGTTCATCCTCTAGATGTTATCAAAACGCGATTACAAAGTAATTTTATGCCCCTCCTTCCTACTCAATCCATCGCTAACAGCATCAGTTCACCGCAGTACATCCCACACTCCAGCCAGCGGTCTCACCATCCTCCGTAGTCTAACCCAACAGCCTCAACCTCTACAAAGTCTCTACCGCGGTCTAACGCCCAATCTCATCGGCAATGCCAGTAGCTGGGCCCTCTTCTTCTACTTCAAAAACGTCTTCGAATCCTCCCTTCGTTCTTTCCACAACCAATCTTCACATTCCAATTATGCCTCCCTCACACCCATTGACTATTTTCTCGCGTCCGGTTCGGCAGGTATCATGATTACCATCACTACAAATCCAATCTGGGTACTCAAGACCCGAATGCTGAGTTCGGATCGAAGCAGTAAAGGAGCGTATCAAAGTATGTGGCATGGCGCTCGACACTTATGGCAAAATGAGGGAGTACGAGGATTCTACAGAGGCGTGGGTATTAGTCTACTGGGCAATAGTCATGGAGCCGTACAATTCGCCGTCTACGAGCCCTTGAAGAATTTCTGGCGTAATCATTGTTCACACCAAACATTAAGAGGCGATAGAGAAAGTTCTCAGGTCAAATTGGGGAATACGGCGACGTTGTTACTTAGCAGCTCGGCGAAAATCATTGCGGGAACGGCAACGTATCCGTATCAGGTTGTGAGGAGTAGATTGCAGACGTATGATGCGGAAGAAAGGTTTGGGAAGGGGATTAGAGGGGTCGTAGGGAAGGTTTGGAGAGAGGAGGGGTGGAGGGGGTTCTATAGGGGGTTGGGTACGAATATTGTGAGGGTTTTGCCGGCGACTTGGGTGACGTTCTTGGTATATGAGAATGCGAGGTTTTATCTGCCAAGGCAGTTGAATACAGACGGGGAGGAGTAGGAAAGGGGTATAGATGAGGTAGGGAAATTTCGCGAATTGTATTTGTATTGATTGTAAGCTATCATACGCGCCAATGTTGGGCTTCCGATGAGATATAGACCATTGTACTATAGAAGCTTCAGGAGATTGCATTGCCATCGACTGGTAAGTAGAGGATGAGTTGCCGTGTCTCCAATCACTGTTTCCAACAAACTACTTCACCACAGCCAGTCTTCCACCAGCATCCCTCCGTTTTCTCCCAAGCATCCCATTCCTCAATCATTTCTTTAATTTTCTCATTGCTGTCCACAACTCCTAGCCTGATTGCGTTTTGGCCAACATCCCCAGTCATCAATGAGTTCTTCCAACTCGGTTGCATCAGATAACTGTAACTCTCCACTACATTCTCATTTCCAAACCCCGCTTCTCTAGCCCAGTTCCCTAAAAACTTTCCAGCATGTGGCTCTGATCCTTTCTCTCTGATCATCGCTTCCATAATCTCAACAGATCTCTTGAGTCCAGAAGTGGAAGGATAAAACAGAGCATCCCCCATATCACTCTCTCTACAAGCCACAAGTCCCCCTACCTTACAAACTCTTCTCATCTCCTTGATAGCTTTCACAGGATCTGGTAAATGAATGAGTAGCTGATGCGTGTACACCACATCAAACGTCTCGTCCTCAAAAGGTAAGTTCATCACATCACCAATTTGGAATGAACAATTATCCAAACCTAGTTCTCTGGCTTTTGCAGTAGCAACTTCGACGACTGATTCTCCGGCATCGAGACCGATAATTGAACCCTGAGGGACCAGTGAGGCAACATCAGTTGTGATGGAACCGGGACCACAGCCGAGATCCAGGATGTGTGACGTGGGAGTCAGGTGAGGTAGGAAATAGGCGCAACAGGTAGAAGCGCGACGGAGGGAGTGTCGATCTACTACAGCAGGGCTGTAGCCGAGGGAATAAGTTTCGTCAGATGCCATGATTTGTGTGATAGGCTGTTTTGTTGATGGCTGGTGTATGTAGAGAAGAGCTATTTGAGAAATTTCTCTACGGAGATAAGATGGAGGTAAGTAGTGATTACGTCATCGTACTTTTCTCGATATATTATGGCACGTAATTACTTCAAAGTTTTCGCAGTGTAAAGTTATATTACTGAATACCTAGGCATATATATACATCGAATGAACTAGGTAGTTACGCCTATATCTATTGTTCAAAATAAGATTGAGGCATGATTCTCGGCAATTGAAAAAATGACAAATTACCCTCATGCCCTAGTATAGTTTCTAGCCGACAGAAGTCAAGGTCACCGGGCTTAACGTAGATCTCATGTCATATATTCTAGCTTAGAATTTACAGTCAAAGGCTGGCTTGCATAGCGAAGCAAGATTCTGTGATATAGGCTCTGATTGTTATATGTTAGAATCTACTCAAGTATGATGAGAGGCTAGATTGTAGAATGAGGATGATAGGGATAGAATTAGCTATATCATTTCGGTACTGAGGACATCTTCTGAAATCATAGTTCTGGATAGTAACAGACGAGAACGTATGTTTCTGAGGTAGAGTTTGTAGTATATATTATAAGATGGTTAGGCTAGAAACCATGGAGCATACATAGGATGAGAGTGGGTCAAGTCAAATCTTTAGGGCTTGAGAGTTATTTGCCTGTAAGAATTTCGTGTGGTGTTTCGATGAATGTTGAAGAACTGTTCACTCATATCTGAGATTCTGAATGTACAAAAGTTTTGTATGGACTTATGGTTCGGATAGATTGGTTGAGGGTGGATGGAGACAGGGTGCTATATCATGTTCAGAAAATTGAACACCTTTAGATATGCGACACCTCTATCAAGAATCATACACATCCTAACAATTTATCTGAAGACGTTCCATGATCAATGTATTTGTCTGTTTGGATATCCATGACAGCTTATTGACAGTTGACTGCTAGAGATGGCGAGTAATATTCAGTTGCGCTTAAGATCAGAATAACGCGCTTAGCCACGCTTTATAGCCACATCACAGAGACCTATGACGAAAATTTACGGTTTCAAAATGAATTCATATCATTAAACAAAGCTCTAAAACAAAATGACAGCAAAAAGCAAAAAGAAAAGAGAGAATTCTAGCTCAGCGCGGATTATGACTTTGCTTTGCCGTTAAAATTTTGCTTTGCAACAACAAAAGATGGCGGCTTCTCCAGTAGTTTCGTTACCCCCCTGAATAACCCCGCTACTCTGAGCAACATCCGTATGATAAACAAGATACATGGCGACTCGAAGAGACGAAGCATCGTCTCTTCATCAATCTGCTTCTTTTTGATAATCGCCAGGTTTTCATGATTTAGTTCTGGATCTTCCTCATTGACCAGTTTGGTATCTGAAGAAGAGTATGAAGATTCAATGTCTGTTTTCAACTCACTCTCCAGTTCGACTGCTTCTTCGACTGGCTTCAAGGTTGATTTTTCCGGTTTCGTTATAGAATTTTGAGCGTTCTGCTGCCTTCTATCTACAAATACTGAGAGTGCTTTTGTAAGGTTCTCGACAGAAGGATATGTTGGATCTCCCAGGGAAGGGTTCGAAACCCCTTGAATTAATGTGGGGGAACCATTGGTAGCTCGTGATTGTTCAACAGGGTTAATAATTGCTCGATTTATGCTTGGTCTTGAGGTGTTTGCCGCAATCCCACCCAGTTGAACGAATGCGGGCACAGCATGTGGCATTTCTTTCGGTACAGCTAACAGATTTTCAATCTCCATTGCTCTGGGGAGACCATCTGCCAGCGCATCAAGCTGGGGACTAGAGCCGTTTTCCCGAGGAGGATCAACCAATAAAGTTATTGCTTTGCTTTCTTTTGCCCTTGAGGAGAATTTCAAGTATCTTCTGATCCTATCTTTAGGACTTTTCAGCTTTCCTTCAATTTTGACCTCCATGTAGAACGCATCACCCGCGTGCTTAAATGCAAATGCAGTATAAATAACGTCACTATGCGTGGCTTGTGTCTCAAGATCGCTCTCTGTCAATTCCCACTTCAATGTTCTATGCACGCCTGTCTGGTGGCCCCTCTGATTCGGGTGGTCTGCAGGTATCAGTTGGCCTTTGAAGTTCCATCTACTACTGCACACATAATCTTTAACTCTATCGAAGCCAACTCCGCCGCCTCCGTTACCCAAAACTGTGAAGTTGGGTGTGAAATGAACGCTTTCTTTCACGGAAACTTTTCTCTCTTCGCCAACTAGATGCCTCGGACCAAAGCGATTGGTGATGTGCAAAGAACTTGAAAGAGTTTCATCGCTTCTGTTTCCACCCTTGTATTCCTTGAAAGTAACAGAGACAGTTGCCTGAGACAATCTGCAGTCACCGGGTTGATGAAAACCGAGGCTCATATAAATGATTCCAGCCGGGTTCTCAGCACGACCTAAGACACCCCATTTCGATCTTGAGAGTTGGAATTTACAGTCGACTCTGACTTTTCCGATTTTCCGATTATGCAAACACAGATCATCCGGAGGATTATTATTTGGTCCCAACACACGTCCAGATCGCGAAGCTGTTGGTGGGTTGAGGGAAGCGCGTGAAGTCATTGTATGTGTAATTAATTGCGACTTTTGGAGAGCCAATATTCAAGTTGTTCTCATGAAACAAGTTGTAAAAACTTGCTTTTATTACGCTATCTTTCACTTGCGGCTCTTACTTGAGTTGAAGCTCGTGTTGCTACTTTGCATACAACATGAATTGGATGTGTTGTACTCTTAAATTACACCACATACTTGCGCCATGCTACAATTTTTCTCCCAGTCGACCTTATCCAATCATTACCAAAGTTTAGTACCATATTGAGTCGGCACTTTACCTAGGGAGCCACGATATCTCTTGACACAAAGTTGAACACGTGCATAGCCTTACCATCCCTGTTCTTGCATACATAAACTTGCCAGGCAACGCATAGCCCGCATATTCGAGTGCTTATTGATGATCCAAGAAATGGAATATTCAGTTATAAGAACTTTGTTATTTTAAAGTCTCCTTCGAGCTCCGAAGAACATCGTGGAGCAACGTGCTGTTGATCCACCAGCGGAAATGTCTGACCCTGAAAGTAACCACCGGTCTCCTACCCCGCCCCATGCACTCCGCCGCCGCGGTCACCAAACTTTAAGACGAAACTCTGACCGTCATTCTTACGCTGGATTGGATAGATCTCCCCGTTTTCCGGATTTCCTTCACCCCCCTAGGAACAATGAACTAAACTGGAACCTTAGGGGGAATTCCCTAATCAGTGATATTGATATACGGAGAACAGAAGAACTGGTTCCTGAGCAATCGGGTGCTGCAAATTTCGCGCCTTTTCCACGAAATGGGGTACTCGCAACGAAAGGAGTAGAAGCAGTATGGAATATGGATTCGACACAAGACATTACGGTACACTTGGACTTGGAATGTGATGAGAGTATTGAAGCTCATGTTGAAGAGCTTTCTAGACTGAGAAGGCTAGGCGATTTCGAGGCTGCGTTGCAATATATTGAGTCGTGTCCAGATGAGTGTAGAAATAATATGGACTTTGCTGTCAACTACGCAGATATCTTGTTAATGCAAGGCGATCTTGACTATAAAAAGCTTGAAAGGTTGGGATTGACCTTCCCCAAAATATACCAGCAATGCATAGATTGCGCAATCTTCAAAATGAAATTTGTACGGGCCTCGGGCTCTGAATTCGATTATGACGCATGCAATCTCCTGGAGCTTGAAATGGCTAAGGAGCTGAAGCCAGATTTTCCTCGACTCGATTCAATGCAGGTAAAATAATCAACTACTTTATTTTTACATTCTGCTGACATGTCCGAGGTAAAACTTCTGTGCAATTGGTTGCGGCTAGATGAAGCGTCCAATATAGCAAAGAGAGTTTCCACAGCCGAATGGAAGACCCTCTACAATCATCTCGCTTCCCAAAACCGTGTCTCAGATATGCGAGATCTGTTCCACACATTGTCAGAAAGCGATGTCATGTCCGCAATCCATGGTTGGTTTGAAATGGATCTGGTTTCCGAGAACTCCATAAGCGACTTTGTCGCACGATGGACTGAATTACGCGACAAATTTACAGACATTGCTCTTCTTGACGTTTTGGCCTCAATGTGTTTACAGATATTCTTGAATTACGTGTACCCTCGCAAAGAATATGTGAGGCACGCTAGTCAATGTATAGAATATGCTCGGCAATTCGCCAATTCTGTCAGTAGCAACAGTCCCGAAGACACTAAATCCGAGTCCTACTTGACATGGATCTTGGCAGAGGAAAAATTGTCGAGAATCCTAAAAAGGAGCGAACCCCGCTTAATTAACCATTTCAGAGGTTTTCCTGGTATTGTCATTTGGCAACGCGATCTTCCAATTTATGTTCCCTTTTCAAATGAAAACCCAGGCTGGGTCATAGATGAGCCACTCAGACGGTCCGATGACCTGCTGGAACTCGGGCTGAATACAGCACGGGAATTGGGCAATTTTTCGTTGGAAGGGAAATTCTTGGAAGAAATCATTCTTGGTTCCCAGGCCCCGCTAGAACTACTGAGAGAGAGGGCGCGTCTACAGAAAGATGTTCAACGATACCGGCAAGGCTATCTTGCAACATGTCTGACAAGGTATCTTGTGGCAGCAAATGAAACGGTGCAAAGAGAACTGTACGATGACTTAAGCAATTTTGATGATGAAGAAATCGGATTTCCTGTCGACCGTGGTGATGCTATCATGTTAAAATGGTGTCAGAACAGAATTCAAAGAGCATTATGCATTTCTCTCAGGGGGACCAAGGAACAGCTGGACATTCATACGCGGAAAGAAGTATTTTTACATAAGAAGGTTTCAGAGAATCACCCTGAGCTCTTTGAAAGCAATATGAGAGCAATGGCAGTGAATGAACAGAACGATTCTTCTCTTAGGATTGGTCGGAATCATAATGATATCTCATACCAAAGGTATGAGAAATCCTCTGTTGCTAAGGACGAAAGATATTGGGAAAACAGACCAAGAAGAATGTTTGAAAGCATAAATACTGATACTATCGAGCTTCCAAGAGAAGAAATGCAGTCGGAGAGCGATATGAATGGATCAGAGGGAAGAATATATTCAAGTGACAGAGATAGATGGGCGCAAGGGAAGAAAACTGCACGATCCTTAGGAAAACACATCTTTGCACCACAGCAGGCTAATGGAGTCCATATTAATGGGATAGGGCGGACAGGGGCCCGAGGGTCATTATATGGGAACACAAGCGATGAAGATGACATTCATGGCGAAGACGATCCACATCACACGGTCACTCAGAATAGATACGATACAGATGCACATCAATCAGAAACCTCTGCCTCTGTATATTACAGCGATCAAGAATCGCTTGATAATTGATGATAGCAGTATGGCATCAAGAATAGCAGGCAAGTCAAAAGAATGAGAGACATCGATTAGTACTATAGCTAGTCTGCACTTGCTTCAATCAACCACTATTGCTTTTATGCATCAATTGAAGGCGAGGCTAAAAACTCCTAGCATTACCAAGTTATCTTATCATTTTCTCCCATCTTGTTCTGTCCGTTCTTCAGTCATGCTCTATGTATCGATCACTGATAATCAATTCTCTCTCCTGGGATGAGAGATTACCGTTATTCACCAAGATTATCTTTCTCGTGAGTATTCTCTCAGGTCCTGGGTTTTGATATATTTTTCCATTCCACCTCATCCAAATATTTCAATTTTGAATCGATCATCTTGTCCATCCTGTGAATTTCCCCTCATATCATGCGATCCGATTCTACTTCTCAACTTCTAATCCATTACAATATTAATATGCTGAGCTGAGGTAATGAATCAATTCCCAGTCAGAACGAATAACCGTACTCAGCTACCTATTCAATGGTTCTTTACGCGTAGAAATGGCCGTGGAGATAGCAGTAGCCAGTGGAAGTGGAACTTATTATTCGCATGCACAAAATCTATGCTCTTTTCATAATACAGGTCATTCAGACAATGGCCATTATCAAAATACATCTCGATCCGATGGAAGCGGATATCCTGCCTATACAGCTGGTAGTCAATAATACGACCTCTGAAACGAGAGGGCCGGTGGAGCCTGCGGTGATGTTAACACAAGCGAGATAATTACTGTCGAGCCACGCCATTAAGAGAGAGCACCCGCTCCTCATGATAGTACTGCTTCTAATAGCCGTCCCTCGAGAAGAGGAAAGGAGCGTAGTCATCGCTAGCGTAATCAGATACATCGAGGGCTCTTGAAAGTAGGAAGATAGATAGACATTGGGAATTAGGTGTACTGATCATTCTGATGAAAACAAATAGACAATGAAAGTTCTGTTCCGCGGGTTGCACGATACAACAGATGCCAGGCATGCTGGTCACCGTGATTGGAATGGATAGAATACAAGAGGTCTAATATGCCTGCCGCACGACTGAGAACATAGATAGACAATGAACGTTGCTTTTACACTGAATCTCTGACTAGTGAGCATAATAGTCCTTCTGTTTGTGACCACTGATGATAAGATTGAATACTATTCAATGTGGTGTCTCTTGATAAAGAAAAAAAGAGCGAGAGAAAAGAAGATTCAAACTTCATATGACATTGTGGATCTAAGTTCATTTATTCAAAATGTGTGTAATAATTCTTCATTATATTCTTTAAGAAATTGCCCGATGAGATAATCAATAGTAAGTCGATAGTAAAAAGTATATTGCAGGGCTTAAAAAGAGGGGGGGGGAGAAGGACAGAACTTGAACATCACTAACAAAATGATGGCTCTTGTTATATGTATATACTTGGAAACTTCTTGTTGGGTATTTATAATTAGAGCTCTTTCAAAAACAAAGAAAGTGTTTAGAAAAGTAAATGTTTTCTATTCTTTTTTTTGTCTTACCCCGCTCGGTCAACCTCAATTCTTTGTGTTGCACTAGGTAGTCATATATATCATTTATTTCTAAGCCCCACGAAAACCCGTCAATTATTTGGATGTAACGATTGAAAGTGTATCTAAGGTGTGAATGAAAACATTTCAATATGTCGGATATATTGTACATTGGCAATGATGAATATACTCAACGACAACCTGAGAGTGAAAGTTCTCAGCCCCAAAATGAATTGGCTGGAGACTCTCAGCAATATTCCCCATCAACCAAAGAGGACGATACCGAAAGTGGGTTTATGTTCCGGGACGAAAAATCTCTGGCTGCACTGATTACACCAGGGGAGATTTTAAATTCAGCCGAGACTCCTGGTTCCACAGGAAGTATGGAAGTTACTTTTGACTGCGAATACGATCTTGAGCCATTTCTGGAAGATTTTTCTCGTCTCACGAGAAAGGGTAAATTTGATACCGCCAAAGATCTTTTCGAATCTTGCCCATCGGACTTGAAAGATCACCCAGAATTTGTTCTGGACTTTGTGGATACTCTACTGAAGCAGGGTGCCTACAAGAATTTGGTGGATTTTGCTACAGATAAAGAATTGACTTTACTAAAGCAGTTGAGCGAATGTGGACAAATTCCTAGTCAGTATCTGCGTTCCGTGTTTGAGTTGGGAAGACGGCGTGCTTTGGGCTACTTGCCCGATAGTGAAGAGAGAGATGTGGGGGCTGATGAAGTCAAATTGGAGTTACTGGCGAGTTTTGAGAGCCTTGATTCAATTCAGGTCAGTTTGCTGTACCATGTGTTGAGTTCTTGTCTGATAAATCTCTAGATACAATTGCTTTGTAATATAATTCAGCTGCATTCCGATGAAGTGAAATATACAAAGATACTAGAGAATGTCTCTCAACATCCTGAAATCATGATAAATAGATTGTTAGATTGGCATAGTTTGTATAGGCATCTTCTCTCGACCAACAGAATATGGGATATGAGAGACCTTTTTCAGGCTCTTTGTTCCAAATATGGAGTTGGAGATACTGTTAGATTATTTTTCAAAGATCGGAAACAGACAGCCTCCAAGAAAATTTCGAAATCAGATGAGTTGGAATTCAGTGGGTGGTTTCATTTTGTGTTTGACTGGACACACCGCTCCCGTGGTGACTAGTCTACAGACTTAGCCCTCCTTGATTTGTTGGTAATTATCTCGCTGCAATTATTATCGCACAGCAGTCAAAACGATCCATCGATCACGAAGATCATCAATCAGGCCATGGCTCATGCCAACCAGTTTGCAATTTCGCTTAGTCTCAGCAATCCGGAGAATGTTCAAACGAGCCCCTATTTAAAATGGGCTTTGGCCAACCAAAGACTAGCGAGAGAACTGCCGTCCAATTCACGTCAAATTCCAGACTATAAATACATGAAGCAATCTCAAGGGGTTATTATCTGGACTTCCAATCTGCCGATCTACGCTCCATTGGACCATCATGATTTAGACCCCGTGCACTGGAAAAGACAGTCGCGAAGCACACCGGAAATTTTGCTCAAGCTAGGGCTAGAAACATCTCGTAGAAATGGCGATTATTTTCTAACAGTACAATATTTGCAAGAGATATTCCATACATCTGAGTCACCTTCAGAGGTACTAAACGAATTGTCGCACATACAAGAAGACTTGCAGGGAGACAAAATTGGTTACTTACAAACCTGTCTGACGAAATACCTATGCGCGAGCGATAAAACTGCTATGGAAAATCTCAGTAATGAGTTAAAAGAGTTCGACGAGAAGATTCTGGAACTGAGTTTTCGGAGAATTGACCCGTTAACAAGATGGTGTCAGCGAGGTATCCAAGCCGCATTGAGCGAGCGCCTACATAAGGACACGTTATCGACAAATTCGTACTTAGAGGAGCAAGAACATGCATACCGGGAGCTGCCACACGATTTTAAGCGCTTATTAGCAGAATTAGGAAAAGAAAACGGTACTCACAAACTTGGTTCCACTGACGAAGCTTTGCCGAAGGAGTTTGCCGAACCTTGCAAGGGAACAATCTACCGAGATGATAATTTCATTGTCTGCGACTCATCAGGTTATTTTACCCAAATTTTTGAAGAAGCAAGTCATGAGGAAGTATTGATTGAGATATAATCTTTCATTTTTAAAGTAGTATAGCATGTACATTGGAATATTATTTTCTAGTGCGCTTTCTTGCTTTATTACTAACGACTTGAGGCTATATTACAAGATTAAATCAAGACCTTGAAAGCATAGGATAGTTTGAGATATTATCTTTTGATAATCGATCAATTTATACATACACTTCAATACGATATCGTATTTTTAATTCTTACTTTCTCAAGTTAAGTAGTGGGTTGGAATATACCTAGCTTCTCAGTAGACTGTTGTAAGATCCTGAACGTTACAGTTTCAATATAATTAAATGAGATACTTGAGCGTTATGAAACAGGGCCCCTTTCAGCGGAAAATGCGACGCAATTTGCTCTTTGAGAACCACCTTTGAATCTTTCTAATATAATCAAAGCATCGAATGATACTCAAAAATGAAGATCTTTTCATGAATATGTATTGAAGTCAAGACAGTAACTAGAGACGGTTTCAGGTGACAGCTCACGACACGAGATTTTGTGGAAATGGGCCCACCATTATACTAGATTTCTCAAGTCAAAGAAGTAATAGGTAGAAATTTTCCTCAGCGGAGAAGCAGCTCAATCATGGGAGGTAGTAGAATTGATATTCTCGTTAAGTAATAATTACATTAGTGATATGGATGGAATTGATAACCTGTGCTACCTATGCTATAGCCTTAACGTCATCATATTCTGAATACTTTTTGACATTGAAAGGTCTTCCAGAATTCAATGCGTACATCTCGTTCATCCTCATTCTGAATGTGGCAATAACAGCCAACGGCATAATAGATCCATCACTAACGCCATCACGCTTCTGCTGTGCCCCGCTGGAGCTGTAATAGAAATCTTCTTTTATACACATATCCAATCTCTGCCTGCCATGTCCAAAACTGGCCGTACGCATTACAATACTCGGGTCGTGTCTATTGTTCCAGTTCCACTTGGCGCTCAACAACTTTTCAGTCCGTGAGTGAGGGAGACCCTGTGTGTCGAACACACGAATGAAAGGTTCTATTTCGGCATGCTTGCGTGAGTCTTCTAATCCTTGAAATATCAAATCGAATTTGGGCATCCAAAGGTGACCGTCGCGTGTCACAAAAGTACCATTCCGCTTGGTTGCAATTTCAGTTGTAGTGATATTATCAAAGATAGGGTGAACCGAAGGGTATTGTTTTCGGCCGCTAGCCCACCATTTCGTGAGCTCATCGGTTCCATTAAAATGCAATTCGCGCCAGACACCATTATCTATATCGACATCGATAGCATAATTTTCAGTGTTGGCTGTGCTGCCAGAGAAACGATGAAAGTATTGATAAGGCTCTTTGCTGCCAAATTTTGGTGCAAGTACGGGAGCGAGGTAGAAGGTTTGATTATCGATAGAGGTATTGAGACTGTGGAGAGTGTATGTTGACGCCGAGAAACGAGTACCTATCTCGACTCGGGTGTCGAACCCACGGCAAGAGTCCTTCATCTGATTATACCATTGTATGTCTGGACCACCGATGATTCTACGTGCAGCAAATATCAGCCAAATTCCATAGTAATTAATATGAAAAGGGTTAGTTTACGTACCCGATGACTGGCATAAAATACAGTCCCACAATACAGCACGTTAGTAGGACCCCTCCTATAACTGATCGAAAAAATCTAAATTTGTATCCGATCTGTCCCTGATTGCCGTTGAGTATCTCCAGGAAGAACTTCGTCCCCCCAATTACGCAGTTAGTGCAGTATAATCCCCCGAAGAGGAAGTAGGATATCCCAACCAAAAGCAAACAAAGTCCTTCTACGATAGAGAGACTGCCTTTGAAATGAGGATATAAGTATGGTTGTGTATGCCACTTGATGTGAAAGGCAATATAGGTACATACACCCCCAAGTAGAGCTAAAACAAGCATGAACTTGCCGAAGATAATGCAAAAGTTTAGCCTCTTGCTTTTGAATCTACCCCAAATAGTGTTCATATTTGGCGGGCTGGGTAAACGAACATTGGCGCACCTTCCACATTCATACTTGCATGGCCCTGGGTGGCATGGCTTTCGGCAAGATGACTTGTTTCCGTGAGCACATTTGGACTTACTACCGCAAACACCATTTAAGCACGCGTTCGGGATGGTAGGGTGGTCATGTAATGGGTTACCCTTTCCACACCAGCATTTTCCCTTGGGGGTCGAGTGTTCAATATTTTCACATATGGGACATTTCCAAGCAAGGGTCCTTCCAACTGGTTCTGCCTTGGCCCACAATTTCGTACATCGATGGTGAGTAACAGCATGGCAAGACTTGCAATTCCACAAGTAACGATCCTTCGCAAAGCGCACAGGTTCTAAACAAATTTCACACGACATACTAGGATGAATGTTAGCATGAGTATGTAAGGGTTATTCATATCCAAGGAGATGACAGAATACTGACCGCTCATTTTGAATGTCCTCGATTATACGCTTCTCTTCTGAGGGAACAACAGACTGATCAACTGCATCTTGTTGTTGCGTTTCGCTGGATAGGCGTGCAGTAGTACCAGTTTCAATGTCTTGTAAAGGTGTTGCGTATCTATCATCAAATGGATCTCCATTACTATCATCAAAGGGATTTTTAGTGCTCGTGCGACTAGGCGACCACGACGGGCCGTTCATCCAAGAGGTTGAATTTGAAGCCATATTGAGTAAATGCTGAGATGAAAGAAAAAATAATAAGTAAAATGGAAAACAGAACCGTGAAGGGAAGGGGAGATATTCATGTATATATACTAAAAGAAATCTATCCATATCTCCTAGAACTAGCCAAAACTGCCTCCCTAGTGTTGGAGCTACTTAAACTGTATCCTGATTATTGGACCGTTGCATCTCCGTAACTTTTCATTATAATATTTAAGATGGGCAGACTAGAAGTATCCAGTATAGCATAGGCTGACGACACTGGATCTCGACGTCAGATATTCTAGAAGTAGAAAATAGTATAAGATAATGAAAATGACACCAGAGCAAAAACACATAATTTTGAGTGCCAAGAAATTCATTGGTAGTCCTAAAAATACTAACGTTGACAATTTTCCAGGATTAAAGTTAACTATGGGAAACTTTCAACGCGAGCTTTTCTCATTGCCTTAGATAGTCATACATGATATACATCACGCAACATCAAGCTCGATATTTACATCGTTTTGCTAGATTTTCATCAGGTACCAGGAACGTGAAGTTGGCTGGTTTTGGGTTTCAAAAGATACACGGAAGGGGTATTCAATATTTCTCAATCTCGAGATATTGGAACTTTCGGATATGTAACGTGTATGTGATATCTGGCAATTGCGAGAAAATCAAGCAGCAGTTGCAAATGACGTGAATACTTATCAAGTGTTCTACTATCTAATTTAGTGAAGAGTAGTTGATTTTAAGTTTGATACTAGCAACTCCTGATGTGCGGTCTAAGCTCGAATCGGTCTGGATTGCCAAGGAAAATGTTATTCGTGACTTGCAGTAGTCTATTTTTTAGATTCGTACCAACTCACAATCGATTAGAGTGCTGACTTGCTGATCTCTGAGGTCAAGTGGAGTAAATCCTGATGATTAATAAGTATTTAGAAAAAAGACTTGGTAAAAGCAACGTGTATATTATCTATCTGTATCCCCAGCCATATCTCCTTTCCACTCTTGTCACCCAATTAATTCCTACCATAGCGACTCACGCAACCACACCCAATATCTATATCTTTTTGCTGTTTATATGATTTTCGAAAACTTTAACTATAAGAGGTGCATATCTAATGCAGTACCAAATGAAATATGAAAAGTGTGCTCCATCAAAACATGTAAATAGGAACGAGTGTTTCTTGAAGTACACGAAGAGTCTCGACAACCATCTTATTTTTGCTGCTAGTCCTTTTTAGGACCCCCACAAATACCTGAAGGGCATGTTTTATCTTCAAATAGAACCCACAGAATGTCCTTGTTTCCATCATTCCAAGGCGTGGTGATGCCTGCCTGACAGTTTCTGCAAGCTTTAAGCGGATGGTCAAATGTACAACCACATCCACAACATTTAGCTTTCTGTCTTGTACAATGACGGCATTTAGCTGGCCCTGGAGGAGGTGGAGGAGGAACGGTTGATTGTCTACTGCTACTGCCGCTTGTTTCTGGTGGCATTGCTATTTATTATTGTTTTGTATATGCTTCAAGTTTATATCGTTGTTCTAGGAGTCTGTAAAAGGAAATGAAGGTGCAAACTATAATGATGAAATACTTAGTTCTTTGAAACAACAGATTGCAAGCAAGAGTAAGAAGGAAGTGGGGGAGTTACCTCGAATATCCGAATGGACAATATATGAACGACCATCGAGCCGTGGTAATGAGGCACTCTTGAAATGAGTCTAGGAAGAGCACTTTTTGATGGTGGAAATTTGTTTTGACGGAGACGTTATTTGAGGCTTGTGGAGTCGTAAAGGCAAGTCGTTGAAGAGTCCTATATAATTTTGTCGTCTTCTATGATGTTTTGGAGTGCTTAATTGTATTTAATGGTAGCAAAGTATATCCAAAGGGGGTTATCGATTGTACTTAAACACATATTACCCCTGCAAGTTTCCTTCTTTTCTCCTCGAAAATGACTCCTAAAGGCACTCAGACAGCGATATTTTGACTCAAAAAAGTCGACAGTGACTGGGAAAAGTCATCAAATTGACTCGAAAGTCTCTTTTTGACTGGAAATGCGTTTGTTTGTTGAAAACACTCATTTTGGTAGAAAATAATTGTCCTTGTGACTGTGATGTTCATCTTGGGATATGAATGTGTATAGAAGAATGCGAAGCTTTCCATGATACATACACTTTATCTATTAGATCTATGTGCTGCCATAGATTCTTCTCCTGCTGTATCCGTCACTCAGCCAAAATCCTCAAGCTCGAGTTGAGGTCTGAATATCTTTTGAAGATCCTCCACCAACCTTTTTATCGTAGGCTGACATGGAATAATAACTGATCAAAAGTGTCATTGAAGAGTCTTTGAATACTATGCAAGTATAGGTTGTCAAGAATCACCGCGAATAAGTTGTCGCGGGTAATGGGGTTTTTGGAGTTGCCTAGGTCGTCTTTTCCAAAGCACAAGAGTAAAGATCTTAGTGCCGATTTAACACCTTACCTCTAGCCCATACCATGGGATTGATTGTAGTGATAGTGGTTTGCTCGTCAATTCTTCTGCAGGCCTTGAAGATTACCTGACACTGAAGTTGAATCATCCGAGTTTATGAGTTCCAAGACGATAGGAAAAGAAAATGCTAGGGCCACAGTGATGAGAAAGACCGTATTCCCATCGCGAATTATCTCAAATTTGACTATGAGCCAAGTAAGGTTGAGCGAATGGTAGTGAAGGTTACTGGTTCATTTTCAGAAATGGTCGCTATGAGATACTATCAGAAACTAGGTAAAACTACAGGGCTTGTGGCTGAACTAAAATCAATATCTAATGGAACAGACACTGATTCATATGAAATTACTTTCTTTGGAAAGTTGAGATGCGCTTTACGAACTTCCATTATGATTTCCCAGTATCTTAAAACATTGGCACCATGTGAAGAGAATAGTCACTATGCATAGCTGCTGCATAGTATTGATGTTTACCTCAGCAAAAAAAAAGCGCTTCTCTATCTCGTTCTTCGCGAAATATCGGTTGTTGATCCAAAGACTTCATCGATGGATGGATTGATATTCCACAAGGAAAGTATCGGCGTTCCATACACCTGTAAGTCCCTGTACCAATTGTGAAAGTCACAGACCGTACGATCTTCAATGACACCCGAGAAGTTGCAATGGAAATGCTGAAAGCATGCGTCGATAGTGGAAGAAATCGGACAATATTCTGAGTATGATTTGAGGTAGGAAACATGAAGGGAGAGGGAAAAGGGAAAGCAGTCGATTCCTATGCTGAGATTTGAATCGCCTTTGCCTCACTAAACCTATATGCTAAGTGTCAGACTTAGCTATACCCCAGATAATGAGTCTTGGTTGTGGTCTACAGTCAGCAGATTTAGTTTTTATGTAGGGTCTGGAAACGTGTCTATCAAAGTAAAGATTTATCGTGATGAAGGTCGGAAGTGCTCTCTGCAAGTGAATAGTACCTTTACGTCTGTACGTAGCTTTATACTCGAGATACACTTACACACGGGAAGATTTGACCATGGCAATAAACTATCCCAGAAATCATTCCATAATAAATGTGAACATAAAATGGTTTCAAGGTTGTGGCTGGCATTTGAAGCGCTTGAGCTCAATGCTCCTGATCGCGAAGATCTAGGTACCAAAATGCCCACAATTGCACTAGTCACCCTTTTTTATCATTTGCTGAAATTGATGTAAAATAATCGTTGATCTTTGATCAGCTCTTGCAGAGAATATAATCGGGAACAGTTACGCTGCTCATTGATATTGGGTGAATCAATTGGTGGGGGTGGCACAGTAAATTGGGGGCCGCCAATGCCCAATGCCGGGGAAGAGTCACCACCTGGGCACACCGTAGTGACTCCTAACTTCTCTATTTGTGACTCAAATCAATGTGTATTTGACTTATATTTAGTTGATGGCCATCTTCTATGATTTGAATATTTCACAACCAGTTGTTTTCTCGCAAAGAAAGCTATATATCAAATATGGCTTCATGGAAAATAGTTCTGGAGCCTGGCGATGAGGAGAAAATCGTGTACACTTCATTCGCCAATTCCAGAAAGTATTTCGCCCTTGATGCTTCTGGATCTACAGTTGGCATTCGATTCATTTCGAAACACAATTTTGCAGATGCATTTCACGAAGTCTCTATACGAAAAGATGAAGATAGAGTCACGAGATGGGGTTCCAACTGTAAAGACCCAACGAACTGGGAGCAATGTTTCTGGGCTCCTGACCAGGGCGGAACCCAACCACAACATATATTGAGGAACCAAAAGTCGATGCAAGCGATTCGGGATTCTGACATTTGGTTCTTACTTACAGATGGAGAGGTCCCAAATTCTGAGGTACACACGCTGGCGGGGTTGGGACAAGAGCTGGGAGTGTTTGATTGCGCGACGATGTTTTTGATTACGTCACATACAAGGAATGCACCAAGTCATGCCAATGTATCCGTGGGTGTCACATCCTATGCCAATTTTGCGAATGCACTATGCCTATTCAAAGATCAAGAAAGCAATCAAATCTATGTAATAGTCAGCAAAGGCGCTTTTGCAGCATTAGATCAAGCAGAAGAACACGATACGTGGGAGAAACTAACCAGTTTTTCCAGCGAAGCAGAGTTGATCGAAAGAATTACCGAGCTAGAAATTCATGTCCCAACGGCGGAAACAAGAATTGCAACACCAACTCAGCTCAATTTAGGCGAAGAATGGAACACGTCTCACAACAATTCCCAACCTACCTTGGTAGACATTGACATGCTTCTTCGAGCAGGAGTTATCTCGGATGAAGATCTTGATCTACTCTTTGCAGATGAAGCACTCGATGCTCTGCTTCTAGCCTGTAAGTCTCGCGGAAAGCTGAATAAACTCCGATCATTCCTCCTCGCCCAAAAGGTCGAAAAATTGACGATTAAACTCGAAGACGTATCCGGCGCTGCGGAGCTCATTCATCTTCTCGCTGATACAGAGATATCTGGCGAGACTAGAGCCCTCCTACAATCTAAACTAAGAGATGCCCATGAGGCAAACTGTAAAGCTTATACCGCAGCTCAAAATGATGTACAATTACAGGCTATTCGGGATCGTAATCGGAAAGTAGATGCATCGCTACGTGCTCTAGCTGATTCGGAAAAATCTGGGTTTACGGCAGAAATTCTCTCAAGAAGATCAAACCGAGCACGACGCGCTGAAAACATCTCGGCAGACTCTGCAGTGGATGTTTCGGTGCTAGATCTTGAAGCCCCAGGCTTTAGAGGTGAATGCCAGGTTTGCTGCGGGGACAACGAAGTCCTGTCTATTGCTCTGAAAGTACTGAGCGCAGATGCCATGGCAGCCAATACCGATAACTTTGCTCTTGACTTCCCCTTGGCAGCTGGGAGATTCGAGGCGAACATGAATATACTGTCTAGTCAGTGTATTTGTTTTCAATGTGCTTTATTTGGAAGACCTGGTAATTCTATCTACGGAGAAGAAATTTCGACCGTTATTCCCACTCTAGAGTACACTGGGAGTAATAAATTGTACATCCACCAGCAGCTTTACAAAGCACTCAATGCGGGGCTAAAAACTAGGGTTCCAGCTATGGGACAATTGTTTGCGACAATTTTGGATCGTACGTTGAGGGTCAAGAAGTGGGCTGGCGCCGGCTTTGAAGATGAGAAAGAAAGTATAGATGCAGAAATTCTACAGAGGAGTAATGCAATAACTTGGGTTCTGAATAATATAATCTCACATCTCCGAGTGAGGGAAACATTCAACGAACTGGGTCAATGGACCACCTACCCGCTCGCTCTTACTCGGGCAGCACAAGATTTTCAAAAGGAAGGCTTAACATCTTGGTGTATCAATTATCCTGTAGCGGGTTTTATGCAACTCCTACGTTTCGGAAAAACACTGAATGTATTCTCCGACGAGACCATCACGAATATGAAGAATACCAAATTCCTACATTCATTCGTCTCGACCTTCCTTGCACGGCTCTATAAAAACATGGGTAAACCCCGCGACTGGACAAAACCTCTGTTGGAAATTCTTTACGTGGAGTTTAATGACGATCTAATTCCAAAAGATTTGGGAGGCGATGCATCGATCCTAAGATCAGTACCGGTATTCTGGAATACACTGATGAAATTCATGCCTGCAGAAGATTTTCCTAAAGGTTGGACAGAGGAAGAATCAAAAAAGATGATGTCTCGAATTCAAATCCTCGCTTTCTGGCTAGTGTTTTACCAATTCGCGCATACATCTGCCAAGACCTATTTTGCACAATTGCGCTCCAAGGAACCGTTAGCTGTTGTTTTGCTGGATACAAAAGCCGAGGCTCCTGAAAATGCTGTTGATGAGATACTGCTGAGTATATTCATTGAATCTAAGCCAGAGTTTAAGAATGAAGATGCGTATACTAGCCACAGCAATGTTGTGGTCCCTTTCGAAAGCCCTTTTGGTGCATCTGTACTCCACTGCGGAGCTCCAGATTGCAGTATTTCGTTCCTACCAGAGGAAGTCTCGTTGAAGCAAATTGCAGACGAGGAAATAGAATGGACACCTCGACTATTGAATCAAGTGAGAAACAAGAGACGAGATCATCTTATTGACATTTTCGGCATCCTCGGAAAATCTGAGATCGAAAAAGAACTGTCGGGATATCGATCATGTGATCTAAAGAGGGCACCGTATTACACTAGCGTATGCACTAGCGCTAGCACTTCTACTATATTAATTACTAGCTTCCTATAGATAACAATGATCAAGAACGAATACAACCATAATAGACTAAAGTACTTTACACTTATCAACCAAGTTGATACCAACAAGAACCAAGCGAAACAGGATTACCAGGTGTAACAAAAGTCCCATCAAGACCACGTGAATTCCACAATTGTATGCATATAGGAATTGCCAAAACGTGGGCTACACTGACGCGCAAGGAGAAGAGGAATTTGACAGGTGCCATTCAATCTTCGTGGATGGTTAATTGTGATGAAGAGGATGAAAAAGTGATCGAGGAGTTCGTAATCAAAGCGAGGAAATGCATTTGTGGGGTTGGGAGGGGGCAATGTTTATTCGGCGACACTGGAGAGGGACATTAGGGCCGTGTTGCCCAGCTTTCTGGAGGTTTTGAAGGTGGGGTTGGCGATGGAGAAGAAAGAGGGGATGTGCGAGGATGTGAGTTTGTATGAGTGCGATTTTGGAGAGAATAGGGTGGCGAGGAAAATAAGGTGGAGGTGGAGTCTTTGAGGAGGAAAGGGCTTGTGTAAGGGCGCGAATGAAGGCCAGTCAAGGACTTGAAGAGCTGTCAGAAATCAGGGGCTCTACACCTGAGGAAAGGTTAATATTCATTGGAACATTAAATTTGTTAGCCAACAAAACTTCTTTCATTTTGTGATACTTCCAAATTGTATAAAATTGATATTTCAAGACATTTTCTTCTTCTTTTTTCAAATTGTTGGAAACATTGATGTTTGGTTGGTAGATCCCTGATTCCACTCGTCCAATTTCTCAGTACATGGGATATATCTTTAGCAATCTAAGAGAAGAATTTGAAATTAAAGGTCGAACTAGGAACGTATCTGACATTCCAAGCACGGAAGCTAAAATTCCGATTACTCTGGAAATTAGTTATGACAGGTCATATGGCACTTGAACACTATGTTACGCAGAACTTCGGTACTCAAAAAAGCAAGCAGTACATCCAAGACCAATTTCATATGAAAATAAAGGGAACTCGATATGTGCGGGCCCAAAGAACTGGTTTGACGTATGCATACAAGGCCAGGAGATGTAAAATCTAAAGCAATAGAGTCTCTTTTTTTATTGGCAAAAGCGCTACGAGACTCCGAGACCACAATATGTACGAGCTGTATAATAAGTGATTGTGTGGTGACGAGTGAGTACCTAGGTAGCTAAGAATAGGCGAGAATCGACCAACTCAAGATCAATTCCGATTCTCATCCGACTTCGGAAACCTGTTTGAGGGTCTGCAAGAGCGGGCCTCTAGCAGGCTTCTAGATTGCATATCGGAGAGATAAATCCTAGTCTACTACTTGATGGGGCCATGCATATAATCATGAGAAGAAAGAATACATTGCATTTTCACTGGAAAGTCGATCAGACGTTCGAGGAGATTCGCTAGCGAAGTGAATAAATTAAAATAACGGGGTAGCATGAACCTTATGCACGAGCTTGGAATACAGTACATAAGTACTCAACCTTGAGTCTATGCAGTAGCAACCTTTCATAGTTTCATATGTTACACAATACTAGAAAGATAATTTCGTAAACTGTACTCGAAAGTCATGATTCTGGAAAAGTGGGAAAGATCGAAAACAAATATGTCGCTTGAAATAAGAAATCGGCGGTGTCTAGTCTGTCCAACCAAGTCCCCAAGAGAAGTAGATTCGGAAGGTAGTTTTCTTATTCGGGGTTCTTTGATTGTGGGATACAATCGTGTATGTAACAAGAACGGATATACCCCAAGTGAAGGATGTATTAGGGGTCCATCTCGTGGGGAACATGGTTCTGATGGTGGCGCAGTAGAAGGAAGTCAGCCCTGGAGATATGAAAGGTTTATAACATTGAACTCCTGTAATAGATTTTTAGATATCATCTTAGAGTGTAACATCATTGAAGGTGGATAGACGACGGTAAAGTTCCAAGGCAATGGCACTTTCTGTATCCGTGAAGGGCTGGGTTCGTCAGGTTGCAGTGAGCTTGAATAAACTGGGGCCTATTTCCTATCTTCATGATTTGTGGAGATGAAGGGAACGAGATTTGTAACGATATGAGAAATTCACAAACAGTTGGAAACGGTTTGCGAGCTCAAAATAATCATTTTCACCCTTGAGTTGTTCTCTCAATCAGATGCGAGGATAGTTGAATGGAGGAGTTAAAGTCACGTGTAAATAAGAGCAAAAGTTCTAGGCTGGACTGAGACTAGTCTGCTTCTTTTCGTCGGGACAATTGCAATTCGATATCTTGAATTATCACTCAACAACAAACAATCAATCAATTATTCGATTTTCACGACTTCAAACTCTTCAAATATCCACAGACACGCACGCAACACATGTCCAAGAATTGTTCTCTTCATCGTATCATTTATTCTTTACTCTCACAGTTCGTCGTGTCTTTAGGAAATTCTTCAGAGCACGTTAATTATTAATAGTGAATGGTTTCGTCCTAGCCATCTTGATACTTCTTGAGCTTCATGGGGACGCCACATGAATATTCCACCCCCTGATCTTTGCTCCCAGCTTCCAAGGTCAGGTCTCATTCTAGGGATTACTGGACGAACCTTTCGTTTTCTTCCCAGGACCAAAAATTTATTCTCGATCAGTATCGTCTTGTTTGTTTCCAAGACAAGGGTCCGTCGTACCCATGCTACATCTGAAATAAACGTGTATGATGATGTCAAATTGGTTGTGATGTTGCACAAAGCCCTCTGGTGAATTCATGGCAAAACTTGAGTTGCATATGGGCAACCTTTATGGGTTGAGCAGTGTTCGATCTTGCTTGTTATCGACTTTGATTACTGCTGACACAGTGTCGTCGAAAAAAGATACCCGTTAATTAGTCTTACTGTTCGGGGTGATTGATGCTTAAATCTAAAATGTTCATTCTTTTTTTTTAAGAGCGCATAACGGCCAGTGTCCTGATTCGAGGTCCACTCAATCAATGCGTTCGGCAATTAATAGCCAATTGAAGCCCATGAACCAAAAATCTCATAACCTAGATACGATGGAATATTCTACAGAACCATCTACGTTGAGGATCATGGATATTACCCAGTATCTTTCTCATCCTTTGGTCCCTTGGCTTCTGTTACTTTTCTTGATTGGTCAATTATCCTGTTGCATGAACTGCTTGACCCACACTGCTTTGACCTTGTAGTCAGGGTCCTAAGCGAACATTTGCGACACTGTCGAAACCTCAGTGGTACCTAGTCAAGCTTCTCATACTTCAGTTGTCAAAGACTGCTTCCTCTATTCAGTCTGGCCGATTGAACTGGCTTTGCTAATGGAAAATATCGTGATAAGCATCTTCAATCAGAATCTTCCTTGAATATCGCTCACGTTGTAAGCAATTAATTGCATCCTCCACTTCATCAGGGGGTTCGGACACTTTTCGATAGAAGTCTCTCCTTGGGCACCACCACCTTTTCATACTCTCCATAGTAAATGAGTTGAAACCCACTTCGAGTGGCGGCGGCGTGGCCCATATTAGTTTAGCACTACTCCCCCACCACTTCCTCCACGCACAAGGTTACCCTGCCAGGACGGACTTGGTCAATCCGCGCGTGGGCCAGACATTCGCCTTGCCAGATGTGCTTTCTTATACATCATGCATTCCGATAATATTTGTAAACCGTCTTTTGAGACTTTGTGACATTCTCTTGGGGTTCTTTTTCCTACCTTCGAGTCTGTCATTATTCTCTACGATACGTGCAGTGCACTATCTATCACTGCTGGTTCAGATAATTTCTTATCTTTTATTTTCTTATTCTGTGCCAACTGGATTATTGGTACAATCCGCTCTTTTTATACCTCATTAATTACTTTTCCCCGTCTTCTCTATCACCCACGCCAAAGAACTCTTGAATCCTCCCCCCCCCCCCCCTCAAAAAAACTATCGTTACAGCACTATCATCATTCGACTCTCATGACTTAACGACGACATAAGGCAACGCCACGGCTCGCTGCCTATATAAATCGATAGCTTCGATCATAATAAGAAACGAAATGGGTGCAAGTTCAGCGTTGTATTTGATGGCCCGGGCAGAACTCTACAATGGCTCGGAACCTGCGTCGACCTTCCTAAAAGATGTGCAGAGCTCTGGGAACAACACAGTCGCAGAGGGAATTATAGAAAACCTGGTGTTTGCAGAAAGCAAATCGGTCCGGACATCGACTATCATTCTAGCAGCCTTTAATGTACTAGCTTCTTTTGCCACGGCAGCCAGTATTCTTTACGATTGTTACTGGGCATCTAAACGATGCAACCCGAAGTTCAAAGCTTCGTATGTTATGGATAAATCGCATTCTTGTGGCAGGGTAACTAACGCGTGCTAGAAAATTCTGCGTTTCCATGATTCACCCAGCGGAAACTTTCCCTTTGGTACTATCTATTGGTATTGTAATTCAAGGGCTTGTCTTTGCTGCAGTTCAAGGAGAAGGACTTCATTCATTATTTACATTTGGATGCGGTACAATCGCTCAATTTATGTGGATTGGTATGTTTTATCTAGGACTAGAAACCTTTTTGATACTAATGATGTTCAGCTCTTTTCATTGTTCCATATATTCAACTTATTTTTGGACTGGAGTGTGCTATAAGATCTTTGAAGAGAACGCCTTTCCAACCAAGAGGAAAATACGATGTATCGATATGCTTAGGAACAATTGTGTTGATGTTAGTTGCTACTTGGATCCCAACCAATCTCTTTCCACAAAAGAATAGATGCTTTGCATCATTGGTATGGTTCGTGTCAAGATATGGAACTTTTGGACTCTGCGTATATTCCGCTGTCGCCGGTCTCCTAATTATCAGTGCTCTCACTATATTTGTCAGACTATCCAAGACGACCTTGGTAGAGCGAAATCAAAGAATTGCAGCATCTCGTATGGTGTATTACCTCGTTGTAGGTGTCGTATCATTGGTGAGTCTATCTGATGAGTTGGCGTTCAAACATTGCTAAAGATTAAAAGGGTTTCGTCATCCCATATTTCGTTTCCCAAGCAATCGGACGTGGTAACTTTAAGTTAGCCATGATGGCAACTGTGGTCCTCAATTTGTCCGGTCTGATGAACGGTTTACTCCACTTATTCTTACGATCGAACACTGCAACAACATCATTTGGGCCAAGAGGCAGGTCCTGGCCTAGTAATAAGCATGAGATTAGAATGTGGGGGCCAAATGAGTTGGCATTCAGCGATCAAATAATGGATCCTGTTCCAGCGCCAGTATCTCCAAGATCAGGATTGGTAAGTCGAGCAGAAAGCCAGAAAAGTTTGATCACTTCCTCGGACAAAAGAAACTTCATCAGCATGGCCGATTTATCTGTTTCACATCTACCCACGCATTCACCAACAAAGCCAAATCCTCTGCGCTCAAATTTCGTTACCCAAATGTCATCGGTACCAATTCCTCCTACTCCTACCGAGCATTTCCCTTCGGAATACACGAGAAAACAATCATACTCCCTTTTCCCAACACCAGCTCCCGATAGCCCTGACGCATTAGCACCTCCCCACATGAACAGATCTGCCTTAGAATCAGTTTACGATATTAGCGACCTTTCGGATCTGGTACCACCTCCCCCACTTCACGGCAAGATTGGACATAGAAGAGGCTCTTCTGTATCTTCATCAGCAACAGTTCAAATTGGCATTCGTTTCTCGCAAGCACCACCTTCTCCAGCCGTTCCCAAAACTCTCCCTCTCGCTCTCCCAGCAACAACCTACGAATTGACTGCACTTCCTGCGACTACGTTTCAAGGACCAGCTCTCCCCTCAATGACCTATTCTCCTACATCAAAATTGAACCCCGCCCCAAAGGCAATGACTGCTCCATCTAGAGCTCATCTCCCTCCACTACAAACAACAAACCTCACTAGAAATGCCATTCCAATCCCACCCCGCTCGCCATTCCGACCTTCCCCTCTCGCCAGTACAAACATCACCACCCAACAACAACAACAACAATCCCCTACTATGTCATATTCTCCTCGCTCTACCTCCCCGCAACAATCACCATCCTTCGTCAACAAGACTCTCCCAGTGGTTCCAAACCATTCAAGCCCAAAACAGCCAGCAATCGAACGCTTAGAGAACTCAGATGCAATCTTTCAATTGAGTCCAACCGTTTACACACCACCTGGAGACTCGCCTCAGCGAAAGGGTTCTGTGAGGACTATTCCAACAATATCGGATTCTAATCGTCGACAGTCTAGGCTAAGACAGGGAAGCAATGGCCAATGGATATGATTGGACTTTCATTATGAGCGTCATCAATGATTAAAGACGGGATTTGTTTGTATAAAGGAGTAGAGGCAAATAAAATAAGGATGGAGTAACTTGGGAAAGGGAGTTTTATTCGGATCTAATGATACCAGCTTGTTTGGTTTTTTATGTTTTATTTTTCATTTATGTCTATTATTAGGGTCTTTGGATATGCAGGAATTGGAAGGTGGAAGATTACGATTGTGCCATGCGGAGTTCATATACTGTGTTGTATCAATACCAAGATGGTAACAGCAGATTCTCCCCGGATGGATGGATATCTCTTTTGTTGGATATTATATACGCTTTTGTACTCTACGGCTCTAGAGGGAGATAGAATTTCCTTGAATGTTGCTAGAATTTGTGGTAGCGGGTGTGGCGGAAAAATCCGGAGAGGATCACATTCTATGTTTTTCTTTCTCAGGGGAGTCGTATGGCAAGCGCGTGGTAGTAAAGAGACAAGGAGAGGAGATTTACGATGATAAAATGCACCCCGTGAAATAGAAAGTACCGAGTACTGTACTATATTCTACCTCTATAAAGAATTGATCATTATGAGATGATACTTCTCGATTCCCACACTGCTCTCAAAGCTCCCCTTGACAATACCTATTCTTTAACGATCAAAATTTACCAGATTCACATCGTGCCATTCCATCTCCACCCTATCATCCGACTTCACTCTTCCTTCATTTTCCTCTATCTCATAGTTCTCAGAACCAGTAACAGTAGCAAGCAAAAATATCCAAAACCGCAAAACCATCCAAAAAGTAGTCTTCCATCCGATAGGTGAGATCAGACATCCACTACTATTAGCTCTTGTAAACTATCTATGATAAGATTAGATTGCGAATCCAGCTTCTTTTCGCGACTCGGACGAAATTGGTCTTAGCTTACTCTGGTGTTTCTTCCCGACATGATGTTTCATCTTTTGACTTTTCTCTCTGACTCGAGGTGCGGGAGGGAAAGAGATAGAGTGATGGGAGGCAAATTCTGAACATGATGATGGGATCAGATGGACGGGAAGTTTTAGTTACGATAGGTTAATTGAATTTCACATCTAGTAGAAAACTGATTATATTGACATGTTTTAAAATCACACAACTTTATATTATTTTGAACTCCATCTCCAAAATTCTGCTACCACCGCCGATCACCTTCCACGACTCTTCTCTCACCCTTCTCGAGCATTCCAGAATCCCAATCCCTTCTATCCTTCCACACCAATTCCAAATATCCAAATACAGACCTCTCTCTCGTATTCCGTCACCACCCCTGCCGCCACAATAACGCTCCTAACGTCTACACATGTCGATCTTTTCGCAGCCCTATGCACAGTAGACTAACTACTTCTTCCCCTCGACATATGTGGAGATCTCGCCTCGAGCTTCCTCTTGTGTAGTTGAATTATGCAGAAGACTTAGCGAGGAAGAGACGGGAAGGAGTGGAGATTTAGAAAATGGGTGGATGGTGAGACGGGGGTGGTTTGAGATGATGGATTTGAAGATTGGCGAGCAAAGGGTCTTTTTTGGGCAAGGTAGGTGTGGGTAATGGGAGGAGATGGTTGATGTGGACAAAGAGGTGAGTGATTGTCTGTGGGTTTGAAGAGGAGAGGGAGGACATAAGTGTGCTGGTGGATAGGAATGAGTGGTCTAGGGGGTTGTCGTTGATCGGTTGAGTCGATTTTCTTTGTTATGGGTGGTCTTTACCACGCGTGGCGGCGTGGGAGTATAGATCTTTCACATCTTCTGTTGATCTCTAGTAAAAGTGGAATTTTGCTCCATTGTCTCTATCTAGAGGTAGCTTTTAGGTTGATTCTAATGGCCTGATCTATGAAAAAAATTGGACGAAAAGTGCTGCTTCCTGTTGTGCCCATGTGCTGAGAATATCTTGTGTTAACCTTGCTATCTTCTATCTTCTGTTGATATATTACAATCTCAAAATGGTAAATTATGGAGTGGTCTCTAGATGCATGTTACCGGTGCTGTAATCACCAGCTCCGTGGAAGATAGGCCATTAATACTGTATCATGGACATGCAACTAGGTGAGAACTAAATCTGTAGTTTGGGAATGCTAGTCATGGATTCAATCGATACCATGGATGATAGAGTAGGGAGGGGATCCCGTCAGGAATTTTCTAGCAGTGTATTTCACTTGATAGAATGTGAGTCAACTATTAAGCTAGAGACTAGAGCCAGATTCACTGAACATAGAGCGATGTGAAGAAGGGATGACATCGCATAGTTGATTATATGAATTAGAGGCAACGAAGAAGGGCTACTACAAAGCAAGACTTTATAGATAGTTTAAAGTATAGAAAGAATCTTTAATAAGGTATTTGCAGAATGAATTATCTGCGCATCGTCTACCAGTGTAGATTAGTTTTGCGCAGCCTAAGCTATTGTGCCTTTTCCGCACAAAGAGATGGCAAGTTGCGATTGGTAATCACCTGTAAAGTATCGAAAGAAATCTTCACGCGCTTCCAAATACGATTATAAAGAGAAAATATTAAAAAGCAATGTCCTGCCCCTTACCACTCGATATCCTTCTCCTCTCCTGGCCCATGAGGTTCAGAGGCAATACCCTCGTGCCTCTACAAACTCTTGGGAGGTCTCGTAATCCCAGTCAAATAATCTCCATTCAGCGTCTTGAACACTTTTCCCAACCCCTCATGACTATAATCTTTTTCATTCCACATGTCTTTGTGATAAATAACCTTCTCTTCACCTCCTTCTTCCACGAGCTTCAAGCTGATAAGACCTATTTTACGTAAGTAACGTACTCAGATGCTTTAGTAGATGTTGAGTGAGGAAACATAAATCTAAAGAAATGAAATGGACTGAAAGGGGAAGAAAGTACATACTATCAACAGCCTTTCCTTTTGGCAAGAGTTTCGGTCTATACTCCTGCCGCAATTTAAACACAATTTCGTCGTCTGAAGACTTCACGACTTCTGTAGCAAGAGTTTCAGATGACCCCATTATCATAGGTATCCCTATTCCATTGTCTCGGATTAGTTTTCTTTCTCTTGAATCTGTTCGTCAAATCTACACTTGGCATTTTGTCCCGCTCTGGACTCATCTCAGGATCAAATCCTTATTCGCGTCTTTCACACGGAAAACAACTCACCATACCACTGTCCCGCAATCTTAAACCTCGTATCGCAATAACTCCACGGATCATCATAAATCGCCTTTTCAGAATAAACATGCATGTCTTGCTCCCCGGTGCCTCCATCCACACAGCTCCCGCTGTAAAGCGATGTAATACTTGTTACGATCTTCTGACGCGAAGGAGAGAGGGGGATAGATAATGTGGGATCAGGCGTATAGTTTATTTCTTTATGATTTTCAGGAGTTGCAGTGAGAGCGATGGGATCGGGGTGAGGTTCATGAATAGAGGCGGGTGTGGTGGTCGAGGGACCTGTTGACATTTTTGGAGATGAAGGGATTGTTAAGGTTGTCAATTTCGAGATTGGTTCGATGATATAAGTCTAGGCGTTGTTTATTTTGCGTGGTTTTATTGAAGGCTATACGAATTCGTGTGTTATTGGCGACAGCTTGTTATTAAGTCGTGATGTCATAGATAGTAGCGATCATAGCCAGGGACTAACGGCTGGTTTACTTGATTTTTCAACGTCCAATGTTCTGTTTTTCAAAAAGCCCCATGTCTCAAAATCGAATTGTTACTTTGACTACCTATCGATCGATAAGGCTCACTAGAGCTTTTATTCATGTCTTAAACTGCTGTGAATATCGCAAAAGATTGCACTTTTGGTGGTTGAATTTATATCCCCTCCGACGAGATGCTTTCTAGATCGAAAGAGATCGAAAGAGGTTGATACATTACAACCCTTATGTAGGCACTCATTGAGTAACATTTCTTAATAACTAGATAAAGTATGTGTCATGTCAAATATTTCCGGCAGATCGACGTACTCCTTCATGCACCCCCTTCGCTAATATGCAAACCAAGATATCCCAATCGTCTAAAATGACAAACCGTGTAACGCCACTAAATATGTAATTTCTATCGCCAGCGCCATCGCAATCCACGTCCTTGATCCGACTCTATTAATAATTATCATATCTGTTACCGAACTGGTATTTCCCAGGCGGCATGGTTTTCTTCGTCATCATCCCACTCTAACTGATCTTCTTCGTCATTTAATGCCATGCGTACAAATCTCTGGACCCAAGCCTGATTTGCTGCATGCTGATCCTGATCTTGGACATCGGCAATCATGTCATCTCGACCCCTACCCCGACCTCGACCTCTGCCAGCCCCTTGCCTTGGAATTTCTGGTCTATTCATACCAGCAGCACGACCACGAGGAGCCCCATTACCACGAGCCTGGTTTTGTCGATTTCCTCGATTGTGTTGCCCACGACGTGCCTGCGGGGCATCAGGGACTGCGGGGGCAGGTTGTGCAACTTGACGAGGCTGATTTAGACGCAAGACGAGAGGGGCTTGTCGTTCTACCTCCTGTCGTTCACCTTGCTCAATTTCTTCGCCAGGCTCCTGAACTTCCTGCTCTGGTTCCTCCACCTCAGGTTCTTCTATCTCCTCCTGAGGGACCTCAATGATTGCTTCCTGTACTCCACCACCAAAACCGCGCCCCACATCGTCCCCATCACCCGCTTCGAGTTCCCAAAGGCGTTGATAGCAGCCCGTAGTTTCTTGATTGAAATGCTTGTAAGGATTTGCTGGTTCCAGCCAAGCAGAGCAAAGATAACAGAAATGGGAATTGCATCTGAAACAGATCATGTGGTTACACCCGTGTGTTTTCTGAACCGGGGCGGCACATGTAGGGCAAGGTGTGGTATGAAGCTGCATGTATTCCAGCGACGCCTTTTCTTCTTCAGAAAGCTCTTCTTTCTCTCTCTTTGGAGTGCAAGCTTTGAATTCCCCATGCCATCCCTGTAAACATCGACTGCAGAAAGCATAAGAACAGTCTTCGCAGATTGCGATAAGGTCCGCTCCTGCAACAAAACCCTTTCCCTTTCCTTTCATCTCTGTTTCAGATTCATCATCTGAACTTTCATCATCCTCAAGACCTTCTGGTTTGCGATATTTCTTTGATCTAGCGGCTCCGTTACACCAAGCTCGTGGGCAGTAAACAGTGTTTTTATCAGATTCCAGTTGAGCTTTATGCTTGAGTTTGACAAATCGTGTTACAACATCATGTTCAAGAGGTATTTGAAGAAGTTCGCTGGGACTCAATTGAGTTTTTGACTTTCGAGATTTTTTGGTGGATTTTTCGGCTCGTTCTTTTGCGCAATTCGGGGCCAAGCATCGGACTGATATTAAATCACCCTCTTTAATCGCATTGTTATAGAAATCCTGTAGACATTCGATGCAAAAGACGTGCCCGCAATCGATCATCTTGTGGCAAGCGGAACCCTTTTTTGGATCTGAAGTCAAGTCAGCAAATAGATGCAATAAGAAGCCAGAGTCACACTACCTAGACAGATACCGCAATCGTAAGTTCCCTTGTCGAATGCTTCTTGTATAGATTTGATGTCGAAATCGAGCAAAGCGATCTTATCATCTTGTGGAATCTCTAACATTTTGTCCTCCTCGCCATAACCAAAGGCATTCTCAGCCCCTTGTTGTAGCGAATCGATGTATGCGAACACCACTAAATCGTGACCCATTTCTTCCCACATGCGAACTCCATCGGCCTCGAGCTCATCAAGGCGGGTTCGGGGAAGCCATGCGGGCGTTGTAGACAGCTCAAACTTGGGAGGTTCGATTTCCGGATAACCTTCTGGTAAAGTAATGTGCAGTTGTAGTGACGGTAGATACGTGATTTCGTGCGATTCGGTATTATTAACTAAGGGGTTATTGGTGGCATTGCCCTCCGCATTATCAGAGCTGGTAGACAATGGCGGGGTAGGAAAGTTTAGCACACCATCGGATGCAGTGGGAAACGAGACAGTGACCGGGTTTGCGGGCTTAACAGATAGTTCGATGGATGCGCGAAACTTGTTACTGGAGTCGAATTCGATTTCAGGAAAGATAGCGGCGACGCATTCAAACTCCTCTGTTCGCTGATCCTCCATCTTGGTGGAAGATAGAATGACGAACAGCGAAACAAGCCAATAGAACAACTTCTGCTCTAGGTTCTCTAGGTAGTAGAAGTGATTCGACCATTAAGGTCATAAACATGAGCGAAACAACCAAGACATCCAGACTTCACAGTTCTAAAAATTGGTGAAAGTAAGGGAAAGATATTCTCAGTGGCGGATGTGTATTGATAATTATGATGGGGCGTAATCTGAGGATGATGGAATTGTTTTACAGAGCTGCTTTAACGAAAATGCCATGCCGCCTTTAAAGACCTCTGATAACCCACCGTCATACCTAGTCACCGGCCAAGTTCTTCGATAAAAGATTCGTAGATTTGATACCCAGTGAGAGCATCACATTGAATACCCACATAGAAATGAGGTAACAGATTTCACTTAGCAAGCCCCTCCCGAATAACGAGCTTTGAGCCTCAATTGTGAGAAGTGTCTACAAGGAGTGCGATCTATTCGCAATATTCAGCGCGAGACTATCAACATGGCAGAAACTCCATTAGCCTCACTTTCCTTGACGCATGTTCATTATGTATGTGCCAGCTCTCCTTTCCGCGCGAACTATGCTAATTGGACTCAGGACCCTAATGATCCAGTCTCCTATTTCTGCGCATGGCTCGCTCTCGTACCCCAAGGACTATGCGTCGTGTATGCCACTCTCATCTGGTCGACGCGCGAAATCGAAATACTCATGATGTTTGGTGGACAAATGGCATGTGAGGCGTTGAACTTCATTTTGAAACGTATACTGAAGGAAGAACGCCCGAAACAAATGCATGGAAAAGGCTATGGAATGCCATCTTCCCACTCCCAGTTCGTGGCTTTCTTCTCAATAAGCTTGACACTATTTTTACTTTTTCGACATGTCCCAAGGAAGCCAACACCTTCGCATACACCACTGAGTATCACCGCCCGGATTGGCCTATCTGGACTAGTCTTGATCAACGCCGGACTGGTAGCTTGGAGCAGAATCTATTTGAACTACCACACACCAAAACAGGTAATCGTTGGTTGTTTAGCCGGAGCAGGGAGTGCTACTTTATGGTTCTTATTTACAACTGTTGTGAGAAAGTCAGGATTACTTGCATGGATTTTAAACCTGCCAGTGACGAGATTATTCCGAATGAGAGATTTAGTTGTGGAGGAAGATTTATGCCAGGCTGGTTGGGAGAAATGGGAAGTGAAAAATGCGCCTTCACAGCCATCAATCAATGGCAAGAAAACCTGCTAAAGGTCAAAGGAATGTGTCAATTATAAGTTTTATGGTCATCACTACAAAGTCGATATATATCATCACGTCAAACCGATATCTTCTCTGAATAGATCCAGCTGATTCTTACAAATTCTATTCCATCGATATTCTGGAAATAAACAGATCAACAGTCATCTGGATTCTACGTAACACTCTGGGGTTTCAATGGTCGAAAGAACAAGTTCCTGATTATTCTATTTTAAAGCATAGTCATGGTTGTTCGCTCAATGAGACATCGTCCTAACTTATTTAGTTGAAGACCGACCGATGTAACTCCTTCGTTGCTATGTTTTCTGCCATTGCTTTCAGAGAACTCTTCAAAAAGCGCTCGCAAGCAATCGTATATGCTATCATCTATATTTACAATGAAATTCGATATTCCCAAAGTTTTTCAAGACAGTGCAATCAATCGTCCATTCAAGGGTGCTTTATACCAATACGAGGACACCTGCAGGTACGTCCAGCTAGCTTGGTCAACTTGCTCGGAATCGGTGCCGATATGTATCATGAACGCATTCAGAAAGCCGAGCTGCAGATTATTAGACTCGAAATATGTCCTTGAACTTACTCCGAAAACGTCCTAGGGTCTCATTGACTCTAAAATGCAACGATATCTGCATGTGTTACGAGATCGAAATCAACAAATTGCGGATCTACTAGTATTTCATGCTGCAGACGCTGTTGTCGAAGTTTGAAAGACCTAGAGACGAGCGTCAGTAACTCAAATCATGCTGCTCCACAAGTAGATAAAAGCACTTCTGAAGAATTGATTTGCAGTGTCTACCTATGCCTATGCAATCATGAGGCCCAGCCGCATCCGAAGACGAGGCTCTACCTAATCAGGCGAGATCCAGAAATTAAATGCAAGTCTTGCGTGCCCGGCATAGAAACGCCTCTCAATACTAGATGCAGACTATATATGCAGAAACGTTGTGTTGTATTAACGAGAAGGATTGCTTACAACGCCTAGCAACTTTTTTTGTAGCGGGTGTACCGATCTGATCCGCATGGCACCACCCAAGGTTTGAGGCAAAATTCGATGGCTTTATGATTATTACTCAAAGTCGAACTCCTTCTGATTTGACACCTAGTTATTTACAGCATTATACGATTGATATCCGGGCGTGATATTGCTTATCGTCAACTTGTACAATATCGCTGATAAGGTTAGAAAGATCAAATATTGTTTTTCCTCTTTGCCTACGTTACAATCATACCATTCTTGATAGATGTTGTCCGTTTCTGATAGATCTAAAGCAGATATCTCGTTTATGCTACTGAATCCAAACCAGGAATTAATAAGTGCATTTATCTACCTACAGTTACATAAATAAATATGACATATTCTGTTCAACAGAAGTCACCACTTTTCCTTATCGAATGCGTTTTACTGTTACAAAATAACGGTGTCCAGTGTGTATAGCACCTTCTCTTTTGACTATTAGATGCATGAGGTGCCTGCCACCCTGCTCGAGTCCCAGTGGACAGGAGAAGAAGAACCAATTTGGTCCCGTCTTTTGATAAAGACCCCTACATCAATTGAGGTTGTTCAGCACAATATCAGCGCCTCGCGATTGGTCAAATCCTTGCTCCCTGTCAAGACTTGGGGTTGTTATCTAGACATTGAGTGTCGTGAAATTCATCTCTGCCCATTTCAAATCAATAAATTTGAATGCATGTATAATCAACAGCCGGGATTAGGTCAGATCTTGTAAGTCTGGAAGGAATTATGGGAATGAAGCTTAATCTCACATATTGCTGTCTCCACTCTTTAATTTGCAAGCGTCTTGAAGGTCTAATCATCCCCGGTGGAAATCCTAGTTTTTTCTTGACTTTCATCTCATATGCATGCGAATCTGTGCAAAATCACTTCATCGACATGCAATATTGAATCCGATATAGTCAAGACCGACAGTTGTCGAACTTTCAACGAGCTTTAATCCCGACCTTGATATGCATTCTATCCAATCATCATGTATCATCGCGTTGGTATTGTGCCTTTGGAATCTACAAACGGTCCTTCTCAACCCTGTCCATAGTTATATGACGTTAGGTGAATCAAAACTTCAGTGATGGTTGTCTGAAAATTAAATGGATTACATCTCGGTATTGCTAAGCCAAAAGAGTTGCGGGCCGTCCGAATGGTTCTCTCCTCCCCCTCTTCGCAATCACACAATGTGATAGACCACAGCGGTCAAGTGCGAGTAAACTATAAAGACGCTCTAATAATCACTTATCATCCGTCTAAAAGGGGTGTCTTCTAGTTATTTGGATTCTTTTGAAGACCCGAAATATGCTTCTTTCTTCATCGTTACTAGCATTCGTTGTTGCTGTGAATGGAGTCACTTTACCAGGTAGTAACTTGGGATACAGAAACGCGGATGATAGTACCTCATATTCAAACGTCAACACGGTTGATAAGGCATTCTTCATTGAACTGGAAAAGGGAGTTAACACCTCTGTATCCAAACGAGATCTCCACAATGCCTTCCACAAACGTGCGGCCTCAATCAGCTACGATGTCCGTCACGAATTCGATTCTATAGCATTTGTAGGCCTTTCTATCTCTGTCACCCAAAGTGGCACCAATGTGGACTTGCAACGACAGCTTTCAGACATCTCTGGAGTAGGAGGTGTCTGGCCAGTCTACGAAGTTCCTCATCCTGGTGTACTTTCAAATTACACAAACGATAGTTTCAATGCAGATTTTCCGTCGGTACGAAAAAGACAATCAACAGTGACTGGAACAGGAGATTTGGCCTCAGCTCTCGAGATGGGTGGCATTGATAAGCTACATGCAAATGACATTAAAGGCAAAGGAATCAAAATTGGGATTGTAGATACCGGGGTTGATTATCGCCATCCTGCACTAGGTGGAGGATTTGGAACTGGTTTCAAAATCACTGGTGGATACTCTTTCGTATACGATAACGGAACCTTGGGGGAAAGTTCAGACCCATTATCTACGTGTATCACTGGAGGACATGGAACCCACGTGTCAGGTGAGCGGGCTCTGCCCCCTTCGCTACTCAACAAAAGCTAATGTTCTTCAGGTATTCTTGGAATGGATCCCATATCTGAAGATGGGTACTTTCCAATCAGCGGCATCGCTCCTGAGGCTAATCTCTACATGTACCGTACTTTTGATTGCGCAAATGCAGGTGGTAGTGACACTATTATGGCCGGCATGTTGAAGGCACAAGAAGATGGTGTTGATATTATCAGCATGTCCCTTGCGGTTGGAACTGAATTCCCCTCAAATAAAGATCCATTGGCTTCTGTCGTACAGAGCATTACCCAAGCCGGAATTGCTGTGATTGTCGCAGTCGGGAATGAAGGCTCTCTGGGTCAATATGCTACTGAGTTGTTCACTGCAGATTACCCTTCCACGGAGCCCGGTGCCATCGCTGTTGGAGCCATTGCAAACATCGATTTTCCGCTTGTCTATCCGGCCGTGGATTCTGCCAATTCTACTCTCGGCTATGCATCTGTTTGGCCAGTCAACCTCACTGTTCCTGTATATGTATATCTTGTGTCCGATGGGTTTGATAGCTCAGCATGGACTAATGCTCTCAATACCGTCAGTCAAAGTGGTCTTTTAAATGCCACAATCTTTGCTTTCGAGGCATTTAAAACGACTACTTACTGCAATCCGAATTCGATTGCTTCGAATTGGGGTTCAAGTAAGGTAAAACCTGTCTATGTCATCGGCTACAATTCAGACATTGCGAATTCTTACTTACTCGAGTATAACGTCTTCAGTCCTTCGTACTTTGGCGCAGTACAATATATCAATCTTAACACCGATGATGGAATCACTCTTGTCAACAATTATGGTTCGGTTGGAGGTTTCCCAATACACTTTAACATTCACGGGAAACAAATTCAAGAGCCCTCCACAACACTCAGGAGGCTTGGTTGATTATTACTCGGATTTCGGTCCAACCTATTTCACTTATGATTTAAAACCACAAATCTCTGCACCTGGCGGACATATCCTCTCGACCTATCCTCTAGGCGTAAATTCCAATTACGCGATTTTATCTGGGACTTCAATGGCCACTCCCTATGTCGCAGGATGTTTTGCGCTCGTTAAATCCCAATTTCCCACCGCCAGCATATCTCAAATATTGAATCTGCTACAAACCACAGCTAGGCCAGTCAATTGGGTCTGGAATAGCACGATCCTTTCCGCGACTGCACAACAGGGTGCGGGTCTCATCAATGCATATGATGCCATCTACGCTCAAACCACAATTTCTCCCGGGCAGATCGTTCTTGGAGATGATAGTACGCACACTATTTTTGGTGCTGCAAATATCACCATTGATAATACGTCAGGATCTAGTAAGACCTACACTCTATCTCATATCGGTGCTGGCTACACGGATGGCCAATTGTCCGGACGAAACTACAACCAAATTGCGCTGTACGGAACTGGTGTTTTCCCCACCCCTACTGTCACTCTCGCAGGTGGTGAGTCTAAAACCATCGATTTTTCTATCGTTCCCCCCATAGGCATCGTTGCTTCAAATCGTCCCGTCTTCGGTGGTTTCATCCAAGTCAGCTCTTCTGCCGGTGAAACATACACAGTTCCCTACATCGGACCACCCTATTCAGTGTTCAATGCATCATACATCTCGGTTATCCAGGTTGCTGGTTTCAACTCGGCTGGAACACCGCAAAAGGACACTGGGTTCCTCGAGATCAATCCGACCAGGCAATATGGAATAGCTGCTGATATTCCACAACAATATACACTTGCATTCAGATTCGATCTCTTACCCGCCAATACAAATATTACAGCTAACACACACGCATTCAACACATCTCAAACCTTCCCCTACATTTCTTCTCAATCCACTCCCAATCGTCGATCTTGGATATCCATCCTTTGGAACTTACACGAACCGTACGGCGACGGTAGCAAGTGGCCCAATACAGCCAGGTAATTATATTCAGTATTGGACGAGTGCACAAGTTACTGGCGATGATGGAGTGAGCTATAATGTAGGAGATGGTGATTATCGATTTTTCGCAAGCGTGCTGAGATGGGGTGGAAAGGTGGGGAAGATTGAAGATTATGATACGTGGCTAGGACCAATTTTGAGATTTAATGCGAGCTATATAGATTAGTGGGTTTGCGGGTTGTGATGATTTTGATAAACTTTGGTGGGCGGTAGTATTTGATGACAGTTATTATCAATTGATGTGGTAGTTTCACGAGGGAAGGAAAAATTATGAAAAACAAGTAGGATGTTTATTAAATGTATGAAGTCATCATTATAGGAGATTCTTCATATTTTTCATCCCGAGTATAGTAGTTAGAAGTCATGTAACGAAAAGTGCATAGATGTTGACCTTCCCTCTCGGGGCATATCCTCTTGTCTATTTCTTGTCCTCTCGCTTGTAGTCAAGTATCCACTATGAAAAGCTGTGGCGTCTAACACGGTAGCCTGCTTACTTACAGGACTGACCTCGACCAAATAGATTTACGAGCAATAAGGTCGGCGTTTGAGGTCGCCTGTCATGGGCCCTAGGCCCCCTTTTTCTATGTATGATTTACAGGACAGTTGAAGGACAGCCGGTCGTGCTACGAAGCGGGATTTGAAAAAAAGTTGAGGGAAAATTCCACAAACCTATTTAAGAGACCTCAATTGTGTCCTATGGATGATGAAAGCATGGGTTCATCCAGTAAGAATTTGTTCTTTCGGATAATAATTTTACGAGATTGATTCTGCGCCCTAGATTTTGCCGGGAGTGTCGTTACTTTCACGTTGGAATCTTAAGCCTCTTTGGTCAAACACTAACGACTTCAGCAGATACGTGAAGATTATTGACATAGTAGTAGGTCCGGTGATTTGGGATGAGGTCTTTACGTAACGGCACTGTAATTGTTGGATGTTATTCTTATCAGGCATCGGGACTTTAATATAAAGAGAGCCAACTCGACGATGGTCAATTCGTATCATAGTACCATTACACGAATTGAATTTACAATCACTGCTCTTGTGATTTGTTTGAAGTAAAGAAGAATTTTTGAATTGGAATCGAGAGTGTTCTTGGAGAATTAGTTCGGACACAGAGGATCCAAACTTGCAAGTTCATATATATCAATTCAGTAAAGTATGTGGATCGCAACCTTGACTCAGGCTTGAACTGCTGATATGAGTATATTATACCGTACATACTAACTTTCTATCACAAGAAATTTTACTCTTTTCTTACGAAAAATGTCTGCGCCTAACTGGAAGAGCGCGCCAACTCCGCTAAAAGAGGTACCTGTTCACCCCGATGTAAGAGAAAAAGAGAAGGAAAAGATTAGAAAGGACGTGGAATTTTATGAAAGTATTAGACTCAACCTGATAAAAAATCGGCAAGCACAGCGCACAAAGAGGCAAAGGCAGCTTGGGAGAAACATACCAACAAAAGTACTTGACAAACCATGGTCTTATTACTCGTCGTCAAGAGGAAGCTTATCTCTCCACAAAAGCAGGGTTAGATGTTCAGGGAAACAATGCAAAAGAATCCGAAACAGTAGGATTCTTTGAGATATGGTTACCAACACAATTTTCGGAAAACAGTTTTTCTTGAAATCTCAATTCGGAGTCAGGGCAAGAGGGTCCAGAAGAACAGTGGACAATTTACTGGGTTACATCACTGTTCATATGCTCCAACAGCCTATGATGATGATTGAAGCAAAACGACATCCAAAACGCAGAGAACATATGACACCAGCTGAAATTACTGCGCTGGAGAATCAAGTGGAAAAATATTGTCGCAAATGGCTGACGGACAACCCCCATATACCTTTTTTGTATGCAGTCACATGTGCATCAACGGAAATGAGATTTTGGATGATGGAAAGAAAAAGAGATATGGAAAGGGCCAAGATGGTGGGATTGTGGGAACCGGATAAACGGACATGGGATGAATATAGAGACCCAGGGTTGGATTGCGATGCCGACATTATAAGTGCAGCAATCAATCTGATCAAAGATCACCCGAATGGTTCGGACTTTGCGCTTACTACAACTAGCGATTCTCAATCTCAAAGTGACAGAGCTCCATCCGCAGTTCCGAGTAGAGCAACGGGAGGAACAAGTGGGTCGAGACGTGGAACTCCAAGTGGGGATAGCAGAGGCGATAGAACTAGAAGCAGAGATAGAAGGGACAACAGATCAGATGACCAGCCTTCAAGCCAAGAAGAGACTCCTGAAGAGCGATCAGAAAGACGCAAACGGAAAGAAAGAGCAAAAGAATCAGAAAAAAGGAATGAAGACGAAGGGAAAGGGAAAGGGAAAGGGAAAGAAACAAGAAGATCTGAAAGGGGAGATAGGGAAAAAGACAGAGGAGAACGACGTGAGACGTCTGACAAGTCGCGCTCACTACTGCCAAGCGCCCCAATCGATGTATCTCGATCAACCTCGAGAGGAGATCCCAGAAGGCCCAACACATCAATAGATGAGCGTGGAAGATTAGCTTCAAGTTCCAGTCCCGAGTATCCCGCACAGATACCAATACGTGATCGCGACCGCCGCGAAAGAGGCGATACAGACAGAGGTGAGCGAGTTTCTACCAAAGATGGGAAAATAGTAGAGGCTTCCAGTAGCAGCAAAACTACAGAATCAAGAAAACGAGACTTCCAGGCGAGAAGAACAGATTCTCTTAGTACCGTGCCACCCACTTCGTCGGATGATCTACATTCCTCTAGTAGTGATAATCGAGCACCACGATCGAAGAGCAAAAAGAGGGCTGAAGGCACGACAGCTGATGCTGGAAGGAAGAAGCGAGACAAGCCATCTGGAAGTGGATGAATTGGATAGAGGTAGACAGCTGGCGTGTTTTTAGTCGCTCTTATGGTCTATTTATTTTGTTAATCTGCTTTGACTTATCATCCTTCTTAAATTTTTATGGATTAGAAAATGGTAAAATGGAGAGGTAGGCGTTTGGGTACGGGAGTATTGTTTGTTCATGCCATTGGTTTTGCTATTTCTTATTATATATACCACAATAGTTTTAGATATAAAAATTTGCTTTGGGGTTTCCCGTTTTCATCATCTTGTTTTTGTTAGAGTCCCGTTCATTTTTCTGTTGCTCTATTCTTCTCAAGACGGGATTATATACTTTCACGTAAAGCACAATACCAGATATCAAATCTATAACAGTTTGTGAAGCTTCTCCTACAATCAATGATGTGTTTTCCGTCATATCAAACACCACGTTATTTTACGAGTGCGAATACTTTGCTTCCAGAAAACCTCGGGAAGAATTCTTAACATGACTGTCTCACCTTATTTATTGCAGACAGCTCTAGCAAGCACATATACATGATATATGTATAAGAGCTCTAGGAATGCAGTGAAAATTCCTCGTCTTATTGAGAGGAGATTTTATAGCACTCTTTTGATCTACCCTCTAGTGAACTTCACTTCATCTAGAGTTCCCGTCACTCATACGGAGCCCCTACATAATTTTACCAGTAGCGCACGGCGTGAAGCTACCTCGCGGTAAGTTTTTGCCACACCTCGTAATTTTTCATTACGCATATGCATTACCTCTCGATCATGTTCTGACGAGGTTGTAAAATCAAAAACATAACTATACTTGAATATGCGAAATGCGCTCATCTCGTGACATAAATCATCTCTCTTCAATCTATCCTGTTGATAGACTGAGATGATTCTGATACGTGGTGAATCTACCTTGCCTCGTGTTTGACAGATCTCAGGTCTTCATATTCACTAACGAGCACCTAGACAATTGTAATTTGCTAGGTTTGTTTCTTTATTTAAACTTAACGAATCCAAGCGAGGGTGTCGATTCCATCTCGTCTAACTAAAATAAAATAAAATAAGTCTATTACATAAACGATCGACCATTCGGAATATTGAAGAATTTCGAAGTCATATCGATGCCAACTGGGTTCATCATGTCACGAATTCTGAATTCGAAATCCAGCATCGATTAGTTGTGGAATAACGATTCGGATTTTGGTGTGAGATGTTTATTTCTTTAGTAAGTGGAAGAGATTCCGGGAGTGAGGAGTGGAAAGATGTGATATACGCAGCTTATTGTCTGAGATACTATATTCAATATTTGGTATAGATTTTGTGGAGGTTGAGACTTTACAAAAAATCATCTTTGAAGCAAGGAATTGTAGGTTTCTGGAGACAGAAAAATCTTGGAGTTGATGATAGAGAGGGTGAGAATGAATGTGATTCATAGCTTTATGGAGGAATGAGAATTCCGTATATACATGTATATATGTAGTATGCTAGCACAAAAGATCCACATTCTGATATCTTGGATGAGAATACTTTAGTATCTCTTATTTGTATGTGTATCATCTTCAAGATTTGTCTTGAGGTGATTAGGATGCAAGGTCTAATCAGACGATGATTAGATGTTAATAATTCATTCACCATCTTAGATAGAACGATATGTTTGTTCTCCAGATTCAACCCATCAATCAACTTGACAGATGAGAATAAGAAGATATGAATATATATAGGTATCTCTTCTTAGAAAGATGAATCATCAAGTTCGGAATTTATTCATCCATCGAAATTCACCTACTAACATTCATCCATAAATATTCATTACAGATAATACATTACCGATATACCAATAAAAAACTGCCATACCTAGGTAATTCTCGGAGATGAGAGAGCTGTTCCCAGAGATTACAGGAAGTTAAGATATCTAAAACTTGTTTGTGTCTTGAGAAGTATTTTTCTGGATTACAACAATTCTTCTTTAGACACAAAAGAACATTATTCCACAGCACCTCCTTTAAACTCCCTCTTCCTGCATCATCTTCTCTTACATCTCCCTCTGCTGAAGAAATATATCTCGAAACTCTGAATCTTTACAATGAAGATTCTCATCAAAAAATGTCTACATTACCAGACACCCTCCGAGCTCTATTTAAGGTAAATTATCTCCAGCAGCTTATTGATGTCTTATTCTAGCTAATATCACACAACAGTTTAACGATGAAGTCCGACAACGGCTTAAAGAGTCCAAGAAAAGTGGTTTACCCTATAGCTACAAATACTGCCCCGAAGAAGAAAATTGGAACGAATTGGAACCTCAACTCGTTCCCCTTCAGTGCAAGCTGAGCGCTCCAGAAATTTAAGTTGAAGCTCGAGGAGGGTGTAACAGAGGTTGCGAATAAAAATTTCAGTATCTCGGAAGAGAAGAGGAAGATCAATATCCAAGAACTCTTAGAAATAAGGAAGGAATCTTTGATGATAGTTAATGAGCTACAGGAAGCGAAAGCGGAGAATTTAGAAAAAGAGGGAGAGAAGCGCAAGACACAATCAAGAAGCTTCAAGAAGAGGCAATAGAACGGGAACAAGCATTCTGACAAGCGAAGCTAGATACAGAGACCAGGCACAGGAAGGAACTTGGGCAGTTGGCTGCTAATCTGGAGGCTACTACTACAAAGGCAGAGCAAGCTTCTACAGACTTGCAAAATATAAAGCAAGGTTCCACAAAAGCACTGGCAAAGCTTAACACCAAACTGGCCAAGAATACTACGGCTTTAACGGAAATGGAACAAGAGCTATCAAAAGCCACGGAAGCTCTTGCCGCCAAGTCCTCCGAGTCCGAAGACATCTTAAAGACATTCTCCGAAATAAAGCAAAGTCATAGCAACTGTTCCAAGACGATCAAGTCCTTAGAAATTGATTTTCGAGACGCCAAAGCTATCAACAACGCCAGTCGAACAAGCACCCATGCGGAAGCTGATAGAATGAAGAAAGGAATCGCAAAAGCTACCGCGGATCTCGAAGCACGTCTTAACGAATTAGAATATTATAATCAGGGACTGGAGAGGAAATGCCGTATGTTTGAAGATAGATACTCCGAGCAAGTGGTTGCATCTGCGAAGAAAGAAGAGCAACTCATTCGAAGCGTGGTGGAGGAACGGCGCTCCCATGATCAAGTTTTGGAATTGCAGCGAGATCTCGAGAAAGAGGAGAATAGATTTTTCGAATTAGAGTTGAAGTTTCAGAATCTTTGTCATAAATTTGGTGTTGATAGGAAATGAAGGGGTAGTGATGAGGTCTATGGAAGTTTGGAGTGGGGGAATGTGGACTATGGGTATCACGTGCCGGATCGATATGAAGTACGAGTAGTGGAAGAAATATGTTGGGTATTCAAGAAGAGGATATCATGTAGAGTCATCGGCCTACTCTTTTGAAGAAAATGAAGCATTTGAGAACAAAACTTGGTTCTAGATGGATTAGCTGCTGTATCACGTGTGTGTGCTCAATCCGTGGCTTGTGCACCGAAGATTCCATTCTGTCTTACAGCATTGTGAGGCTTGCATTTCTTCATCTCACTGCATCATCAATCGGACCTTCAAATACCCAAGTGAGAATCAATGTGTATCGTGATTGATAGTTTCATCACATTTAATAGTTGGTCGGATGATTTTCTTTCCATTTTACCACATTTCCAAGCTTTTTGATTTCCAATTCTTTTCCTCTTGTTGGTACTCTTGTAACACCAACCCAAGACGGCCTCTTCTTCTTACTTGCGGATTTCTCGGTCAATCAATAAACCAATTGTCGTGAAAGGAATGCGGGGAAATGTGAATCCATTGCGGGGGAATAGCTAGGAATAGCCAAGAATAGCCAGGAATAGCTCATGGGTACGAAATAGCAAGGGCTTTCAGTCAATCTAAACCGTTGATGGAAAGCTCAATTGGCTGATGGGCAAAAGAGCGTTCCATTGAGAGTGTCATTAAATTATCAATTCCATACAAAAAGATCAGATCCCACCATATCAGCCTGTTTAGATTATAAAGGAAACCATGTAAGTAGGTGGGTAGACAGGTAGGGTAACCCTTCCTCTATGTATACCCAGTTTTAGATACGATAATGTTGCACCCTTCTTCCGTCTCATATATATGATACGATCAATCCGAACCATATCAATCCTATCGAGAACGTCTACTTCATTCACCCAACGCTCTTTCCATTCATTCGGAAATGGTGCAACAGCACGGTAGAATTCATTGTGACAGATGATCTTAGCACATTCATTCCCTATTCATACAATCCTAACAGGTTACCTAGTACCATATCGCTTCGTCTTGAATTCATCGACCTTTCTAACCTACTCCCTCACAAGAACAATTCTTCCTTTCCCTAGAATACAACTTACCAACTTCCCTTCTCTTCTCTTTCTACCAAATCAATTTGTACAATTACAGATGCGGGTCTAAAAGATGACCTGGCCTTCAACAATGAAGCCGATACTTAGATTGTGTCGTGCCAATAATTATTCAGAAGTACTCTCGCCGGGTCCAAAGATTGGTGACAGTCTTGGTATGTCTTCATTCCTGACGTTCGCTCTAGCTCACGATTTCGTCTATCAATTACTTGATTGAGACTTAATATGTCTTTTTCGTAGCTACTCACGTACGATCACTTTATCCAACAAGCCAGAAAAAGTACAAGAGGTATACATCGACAACTACTTCTACCACCACATCTGCTGTCCCGAATACCGCATCTCTTTCTACAGCTTCCTCTGCTGCTGTTACGCCGGATTTAATCACCACTCCATACTCGAATTTGACAATTGGGATAGCTCGCGAGACATACCCAAACGAAAAACGAGTTGCGATTACTCCACAAAATGCACAATTGTTGATTAAGAAAGGGTTTTCCCGAGTTCTTGTTGAGCGAGGTGCTGGAGCCGAAGCTCAATTCACAGATGAGGCATACGAAACGGCGGGAGCTAAAATAGTAAATAGGAAGAATGTTTGGGCAGAGAGTGATATTCTTCTAAAGGTCCGGGCACCAACTGTGGAGGGACCTAATAATGAAGTCGATTCGCTCAAGAACAATGCAACTCTTATCTCGTTCTTATATCCAGGGGTAAACAAAAATGTCGTGGAGAAATTAGCGCATCGAGAGATTACCTCTTTCGCGATGGACATGATTCCTAGAATTTCCAGAGCTCAAGTTTTCGACGCTTTGAGGTATGCATAGCTTCCAGATCGCAGTCAAGAGAATGAAAAGCTCACATACTATCGTGATTAGCTCTATGGCTAATATAGCCGGTTACAAAGCTGTCCTAGAGGCTTCAAATCATTTTGGTCGTTACATGACTGGTCAAGTCACTGCTGCTGGGTAAGTAAATGTTCATAAGTTGCTAGCGTTCTAGACTAATTTAGTGAATTTAGAAAGGTACTTACTCAAGTATCCGCTTTTAGTTGACGTCATTAATTTATTTAGGTTCCTCCTTGTAAAGTACTTGTCATCGGTGCTGGTGTGGCTGGTTTAAGTGCCATTGCAACAGTAAGCATTTGACTCTACTTTGTGAGATAGATATTAATGGTTTTCCTAATTAGGCTCGACGCATGGGAGCAATCGTACGGGGATTTGACACCAGATCAGCTGCACGTGAGCAAGTCCAATCATTAGGTGCTGAATTCATCGAGGTAGATTTCAAAGAAGATGGATCTGGCGCCGGCGGTTATGGAAAAGAAATGTCAAAAGAATTCATGGAGGCCGAGAAGAAATTGTTCATGGAACAATGTCGTGAAGTTGATATTATCATTACTACTGCATTGATTCCCGGCCGTCCTGCTCCTAAATTGATCCACGAAGATGTAAGCATACACAGGCATAAAATTATTGAAAAAGATCTGACTAAATCCACAGATGGTTGCCGCAATGAAACCTGGTTCTGTCATTGTTGATTTGGCAGCAGAAGCAGGTGGTAATTGTGATGTTACTGTTCCAGGTCAATTGATTGAACATAAAGGAGTTAAGATTATAGGTTTGTGGCATGATTTGATGGATTCCGAGGCAAAGCTAATTTAGTTTCAGGATATACTGATCTTCCCTCTCGACTACCGACTCAATCTTCCACCTTGTACTCTAATAACATTACTAAATTCCTCCTTTCTATTGCCCCTGAAGAGAAGCAATTCGGAATCGATCTCAAGGATGAAGTTGTTCGTGGTTCAATTGTCACTCACAATGGAGAAATCATACCCACTGCACCACGACCAGCTCCGCCAGCTCCAAAAGCTGCCTCAGCTATCGATGTTAATGCGTCAGCTGCTAATACTGTACCCTTGACTCCTTGGCAAAAGCAAACACGTGAAGTCGGAGCTATCACCGGTGGAATGAGTCTTGCACTTCTTCTTGGCAAAGCAACTGGGCCTTTATTTATGAACAATGTCTTCACGTTTGCACTGGCTGGATTGATTGGCTACAGAACCGTATGGGGAGTTGCTCCTGCCTTACATTCTCCACTCATGAGTGTGACAAATGCGATCTCAGGTATGGTCGGTGTTGGTGGATTTTTCATCATGGGAGGTGGTCTTGTACCACATACTATTCCTCAAGCTCTCGGTGCTTTGTCTGTAATACTTGCATTTGTAAATGTTTCTGGTGGATTTCTGATTACCAAACGAATGTTAGATATGTTCACGCGTAAGTACTATACTCCTTTCCAATGTCACCTTAACTGACTCTTTACAGGACCAACTGATCCAAAGGAATACCCATGGTTATATGCTGTACCTGCTGTTGTTTTTGGTGCCGGGTATATAGCCGCTGCATCCACTGGTATGGCTGGGCTGGTACAAGCAGGATATATTGCTAGCAGTCTCCTGTGCATTGGTAATTCCACTTTTGCATTTCTTACTAAAATAACTACTAACTTTACTAGCATCATTATCTGGTCTTGCTTCTCAAACAACGGCGCGTCAAGGTAACCTTTTGGGTATTCTGGGTGTTGGAGTCGGCATACTTGCATCACTAGCCGCGGTTGGATTTCCTGTTGAAGTACTTGCACAATTCGCAGCCGTTGCTGGTTGTGGGGCCATCATTGGTAAGTAATTGGTACTTTCTTCTTCCATGTAAATTTTATTCAACTCACAATTGTTTGTAATAGGATTGAGAATTGGACGACGCACTACCGCAACTGACTTACCTCAAACTGTGGCGGCACTTCACTCTGTGGTTGGTCTTGCTGCTGTTTTAACTAGTTTCGGATCAGTCATGGCAGATATTGGTGACATTTCACAACTTCACCTCATAGCTGGATACATGGGTGTTCTCATTGGTAATAAATCACTTTTATGATTCTCGCTGCTCTGCTAATACATATAGGTGGTGTTACGTTTACTGGATCCATAGTAGCTTACCTTAAACTTGCTGGTCGGATGTCTTCCAAACCAATCAGGCTTCCGGGTCCTAAACACTCGGTAAACTCTACTCTACTTGCTCTTAATATGGCCAACATGGCAGCCTTCATTACTTTTGCACCTGCTGCACCAGTGATTGCCGCATGTTGCTTGGGTGGTAATGCAGTTCTTAGTTTTATCAAAGGTTACACAACTACCGCTGCTATTGGTGGAGCAGATATGCCTGTCGTCATTACTGTGCTCAATGCATATTCTGGATTCGCAATTGTATCTGAAGGCTTCATGCTCGATATGCCGCTTTTAACGACAGTTGGATCTTTGATAGGATTTAGTGGTTCAATCCTATCTTCTATTATGTGGTGTCGGGATGAATCGATCTATCGGAAACGTTCTGTCTTGGAGATAATAGCTCCTAGCACGGAAACTGAGGCATAAATCGAAGGACAAATCACCGAACCAATATCGATGAAGTTGTGGATCCCTTGAAAATGCGGAAAAGTGTTATCATCGTTGTCGGATATGGTATGGCAGTGTCGCAAAGCTCAATATGCTATCAGCGATATCACTCGAAATGCGTAGAGGATAAAGGCATTAAATGGTCCGTTCGCCATTCATCCTGTCGTCAGTCGTATGCCTGGTCAATGCAATGTTCTTCTTGCTGAAGCTAGCGTTCCATACGATATTGTTCTCTAAATGGATGAAATCAATGATGATTTCGGAGAAACAGATGTAACACTTGTCATTGGCGCAAATGATACAGTTAATCCTATTGCTCTTGAACCGGGTTCTAGTATTGCCGGTATGCCTGTTTTACACGCGTGGAAGAGTAAACAGGTGATTGTTATGAAGAGAGGTATGGCAAGTGGATATGCTGATGTGGTTAATCCGATGTTTTATATGCCCGGTACGAGGATGCTTTTTGGTGATGCTAAGGATAGTTGTGATGGTGAGTTATTTGATTTTGTTGATATGCTTCTTTTACTGGATGATAGTGTTTGAGTTCTGATCGTGGAGTGATTGCTAACTTGGGAGTTAGCTATTAAAGGTGCACTGGAAGCGAGAAATCGTATGTATGACGTCTGAGTGATTACAAGCGAAATAGCTACTACTCTTTAATGGTTGCTGGCGAGATTTCTTTTAAAAGATTTCCTTGCTTTGTCGGGTAGATACATCAAGCTGGGTATATACTCCCTAGAACTCGAATGGAGGGAAGTATGATTATGATTAAGGCTAAGGGTTAAGGATTAGGGATTAGGTAATTTGTCTATAAGTGAGTTAGTTGGGCGTCGAATATGTGTCTTGGGTACAAACAGATGCGGAGTCGGAGAGAAATGAAATATGAAATAAGGAATGAGAGGAGAAGTAAATGATAAAGAAGATTCGATAGATGATAATGATGATGATGATTATTGATATTGATATATTTGTAAACCTTCCTACTTTGATATTAAGTCGTCTTGATATAATAAATAATCTCTTAACATAGCGAATATAACGACTAATTATATTGTATTGATTATAGAGATAGTAAGGAAATAAGTATAATTAGATTACCTATATAATGAGAGTTTCTACGAGTAAGTATATTTTTAATTGTTAAATACGAATCATCTATCTATATATATATACCTTCCCCCCCTTTATCTCTCTTATCTCTCTTACTTTTTCACCTCTTACCTCTCACCTCTCATCTCTTTTACTATACTTAAATACTAATCTAGCTTGTAATCCTTAAATTATATTTCTTTTTTATTACTATTTTTATCTTCATCTTCATCTTCATCTTCATCTTCATCTTCATCTTCATCTTCATCTTCATCGTCATCTTCATCTATCTTCATCTCATCTTATCTTCATCTTTATTTTCTTATTAATTATTCTCTCTATTATTATAACTTTAATTCTATTAATTGTCTCTTAGATCTAATAAGATTAAACAAATATTATTTATTATCGATCTATTACTAATCTCTCTCATTCAGCTTATTTCATCTCATCTCATCTTATTTCATCTCATCTCACATCTCATCTCATCTCAAGAATACAATCCATTCAATTCCAAATCAAAATCGTGGAATCAAACCTCGCAAAACCAAAAATCAAGAAAAAATGTTTTTTAAAAGGAGTATTCATTAATTTATATTCCAATTCCTATTCCTATTCCTATTCCTATTCCACAATTCCTATTCCCAACTAAAGTACCCGACACCCTGCCTTCCAGACCTCAAGTGTCTCAACTCAAGTAGGTACCTATTTATCCCTCGAATCTCAAGTCAAGTCAAAGTATCCTTGTTCTGTCCTTCCATCCTTTGATTGATACCTATGCTATGCTATGCTGTGCTCTACCCTATCCTACCCTATATCCGACCTTCCAATTAACAATGAATACCATAATCTGCGAGGTGAATCCATTAATCCCGTGTTAACCCACTCCAGCAAATCCATCCTATTCCCGTTATAACTATATCCCAGACGAAAAAAAAGCTTTATAATCCATCCGCTAGTCCATCATGCATGACATATCATATCATGACCATGCTAGCCAGCTAGACCTTCATTGAGCTATACCCGTCCATCCATCCATCCCGTTACTTAGTATCCTCCATCTCCACTCCATACAAATGAAATGAAAAGAAGTCCTTCCCAAGTAAGCAAACAACGCACGCTATGCAATAACAAAACAAGAATCCGATCGCAATGCAAGAAGATGTAGACTTCTTCACTCATAGCTCCAACCTTGAGGTTTTTCTAAACAATCTCTTAGTACCTCCAACCTTATCCATTTCTCCCAGACTTTGTCTGTGACCACCTTTACGTCTTTCTTTCTCCTCCGTACTTGCCAGCATGACTTTCTCCTTCATACCTTCAACCCATTCAAGATCTTTCTGATCTAATTCCTTTTGTTTACCTCTTGGCCCAGCAAGGCCCAAAGAAGTGTCCTCTTCATTCCAATCCAATCTTGATGAACTTCTAGATACTGCTGATTGAGGGGTCTGATTGGTATCTGATTCACGTTGAACTTCAGCAAATGGTGTAGCTGGAAGGGGAGGCACTGCATCAGAAGAAGAGAATGTAGATTTTCTCGTTTTGCGAACACCAAGGGATGATTTGGGTCGATCAATGGCAGTTGATGGACGAACACTCATCGCGGATGCAGAACGTGGACCAGGTGTGTTACGACCAGGTCCAGGTGTAGTACGTCCATTATCACGAACAGTAGAGCCACCAGAGGGAATACGTGACGGTAAATCTTGAACCTCAACTTTATCGGTATCAACTGGAGCTCTTCGTCCATGATGACTTGCGTATTCTTTGAGATATTCTCCAAGATCGGCCCAACCACCTCCAACACGTACCATGACTCTTTCACCGTTCTCAACCACTAAGCGAACAAAAAGCTTAATCGGCTTTTCACCACTTGACCTAGATAAATGATAAACTTTAATCTCTGGATTACCGTTCTGAGGTCTGTGACGCGGAGTGCCACTCTTTGCATACGCAGGAGCGAGGGTAAATGATGGAGTTGGGGCACGTAAGCTGCCAATTGAAGACTGCGAACGAACTGAAGGCATCGAGGGAGTAACCGAGCGACGAGTCTTCCGAGGACGAATTCCTTTAGTATCTGGCTTTTCTTCTGGTTCGGAGCGAAGCCGAATATGCGCTGGAATTGATTGAAGTAAAGAACTAATTTGTTGTTGCAGCTGGTCATCGCTGTTGTTGCTGACGGGCGAGGCAGGGATAGATTCGAGAGCATTGCCACTAGGAAAAAAAGAAGAATCGGGTGTGGATATTAGGTGGGAGAAATCTGGACTTTCGAGAAGTTGAGGAGGGCGACGTATAGCTTTGGTTGGAGCTCCTGGTGGAGAACCGGGTGGAGTGTTATCATATTTCTGAAGATCATGTGACCATTTTCGTGGAAGAGGGGAATCTTCAAATGTGACAGTAGATGCTCCATCAGAGTCATGATCGACAGGACTTGGACTAGCCTCTGGCGTCATTTTAGATTCGCAGCGGTCCGAGAGTGAATCATCTGAAGCATCGACAATTATGGAAGGTCTGCGTGCTTCCATCTGTGCATCTAAAATATCGAATTCCATCCCATCAGGACCGAGCCTTTGAGCACTTTCTGAAGCACCATCACTGCTCGCTATTGTAGAATTGTGAGACGCGCGAGATATATATGCTGGTGCCTTCATATTCCGGGCTTTCACATGACCATTCTGCGCCGATTCGTGGGATGTAGAAGAAATGCCCAGCTGTTTCGCTAAGGCAATGCTAGAAGCTGGCGCATTCAAGACAGAATCCTTCTTTGGAGAAGTAATTGAATCCTTGGAAGTAAAGAATCCCCGTTCTATTCCGATGACATGGGGTGAGCTCGAACTGCGCAATCTTGGCAGTCTAGATCCTGTAGGGGACTTCATAGTCGGACTCGGAAATGTATCAAGAATCGCCGATGATGGTCGTATAGAAACTTTTGGAGCTGTGACGTGTAGTTCATGGCTCGAGGTTTGTGGTGATTCCTCATTCGAAATGGTACGTCTCAATGCATTTGCGAAAGTATGTCCGAATTTGGAAACTTTGGTGAAGCTCCTGACGCTAGACGAGCGAGTTAATGGAGTGTGTGAGAGCGACCCACTTCCAGCTTGTTTTAAGTGATGAGAATCTAATAACGGAGATGGTGTTTGAGGTGGAGATGGGCTTTTCGCAATTGAAGATTGCGTAGCTTCGTGGTCTTGAACGTGAGCAGCGCATGGATTTGGTGTTTTTGCTGGTGTAGACAACAACCCATTGGAGATGGCAATAGACTCCGTTTGAAGGGGGGTCGTGGGCTCTATTTCGTGAATATTCACATTCCCTTCCATTGGACCATTTTCAATCACAGATGCTGATAGGGCTCTAGCTTCTTCTGCCCGTGCCGCATCTTTCTCGACCTGTTTAGTCGCAATTGCGGCCAATTCTCCATCTGTAATTTTACGATCTGCTGAAACAACCCATTCGCCATAATCCCGTTCAAGGTTTTCCATCCTATCCAACCAGCTATCGGGTAAGGTATCCATCCTACCTTCCAGTATATCCAGCATATAATCCAGATCTCTCCCAAGAATCGTAACTTTGGCCTGTAAAACATTTTTCATGACTTCGAAAGTTTGGCGAGAAAGAACCGTAGCCCCCATTTCACCAGACCCAGTAGCATTTGCCCCTGCCATCTTTATAGCCTGCCATCCCGAATTTAACGCCATCTCCGCATCATCCAACCCAAGCAACAAAGGCGGCACTCTGCGAAGTACAGAGAGACGAATACCCCATATATCTAATAAACGCGTCAATTTTGCCAAATTCGGTAATGCCTGCAATACCGTGGCCGTAACTATAGCTGTGAAATCATCCATCATCGTATACGAGGTAAGGAAAGCCGGCACGGCAAGAGTAGAAGCAGAAGCGGGAGGTCGAGAATTCGCAGAAAAGTGTGTATCTAAGACCCGACGTTTTATTTCTTCCACCTTCAAATCATCCATCCCTTCGCCAATTTCTTCTATCCGATACTCATATCGTACAACCTGATCGAATAAAAGACTCCCACAATATTGCGGCTCTGTATCTTCTTCGTCCTGTTGTTCCGTTTCATTGTCCGACTTGGGTGGTGATACTTTTATTTTCTTTGAAGAGACGGGAGCTTCGAATCCTGCGGATCCCCCAGTCTGGGGCCATGGCCAATTTGATAATTCATCCAACCATTCTTGTACTTTCTTGGATGCTAACGTTGCTCGTATGCCGAATGCTCGATCCGCAGGAGAAGCAGCTTCGATGCTAGTCTTCAGTTTGCCTGTGGGTGTAGTGAAAGCTTGCAGGGTTGTGGTGGGCGTGAGGTCGGATAGGAGGTCATCGGCAATATGTGATCGACTTGAGGATCTATTTGGGGATCTTGTTCTCGAGGAAGATCTTGGGTGTAGCAATGGAGGAGCAAGCCTCGAGGTAGAAGGAGTCATAAGTGATGTACTCTCCATGTTTGATTATGTTTTCTGATTAGAGGTGTATTAATTTAATGAGGAAATCGCAGGCGCATTGCTCACAAGAGACCTTAA